GTGACACTAGTGCTTGGCCCACGCACAGATTTGAAGAACATAAAAATCTCACGTGCCTCTTGTCCCTAAGGTTGTCCCCTAGAAGAAGGGCTGGTTAAGTGTTCTGGCACTAGACAGTGTCACTCTTTTATCTTTCAAAGAAATGAGATAGATGACTACAAATTGCATTTTTCTTAAACAATAAATATGCCATTACAGTTGGCAGCTCTATGGAGCGCATCTCACTTCTCACTGTCCAAGTAAGCTTTCAGAGAGTAATAAATTGTCTGTGAAAATACTTTGAGATCCTTTCAGGCTACTGGGCAGCCAACTGGTGAATGACAGTGCCCACCGCAGCCTCGCCCTTCGGGGAGGAGAGTTGGTAGCAGGAGGATCACGGAGCCCAGAAACCACGGGCTCTGCACGTGGAGTTGTGTTTCAGTAGCCGTGAAGTATTTAGAAGGAACAAGATGCTCCTTTCAAGGAGCTGCTGCAATCTTGTCTTTCTCATTTGCTGCCTTTCTCTGATTCCCGCTCTAAACCAATTTCAACCAGAAAATGTCTTTGTAAAATAGATTTTTCTATAGGTCTTAATTTTTTTTAGTGAAATTTTATTTTATTCATGTGGCCCAAGTCATTTAATGCAATTTCCAATGTGTCTCTCTTACAAGATAATTTTGTTCATTGGTGGAAGCTGATTTTAAATTTTTGAGTTAAGGGGGGGGAAAGAACCGAAAGTCCAAAGCATGCTAAATATTTAGCTTTGGGTTACCTTTATTAAAAGTAAATTTGAGCCGAAACCGGTTCGGCTCAGTGGTAGAGCATCGGTCTGAGGACTGAAAGGTCCCGGGTTCGATTCCGGCCAAGGGTATGTACCTTGGTTGTGGGCACATCCCCGGTAGGGGGTGTGCAAGAGGCAACTGGTCAATGTTTCTCTCTCCCTTCCTCTCTGTAAAAAATCAATAAAATATTATTTTTTAAAATATAAATAAATAAATAAATTTGAAAACCAGTTTATTATGAGTGTTTTGGGGTTGTTATTGTTAAAGCAATTCCTGCTGCGGACAGCACTGAGGCCACTGTCCCGCGTGTGACAGGCAGCTCGAGAGAACAGGCCAGTGCGTGGGGTTCCCCACACAGTGCACACCACGCTGCCTGTCTGTCTGTCTGAGGTGTTGTCTGAGCTGGTGGTCAGAGGGGCGCAGTGGCAGCAGGACATGGCTCCCTGGGCCCTGTGTGTTAGGCACTGGACAGATGTCCCTGGGAAAGCTCAACACGAGAGAAGGTACACAGAAGAGTGGGGTGTCCTGGGATCTGGCCTTGGTGAGTGGAAGCCGGGAGGAGGGACAGCCTATTTAGCCTGGAGGCAGGTAGAAGCCAGAGCCTGAGAAGCACTAGGTGAGGAACTGCCAGCTACAAGCAGGGGTCTGCACTCCTGGCAGAGAGCAGGATGGACACTCGGGCCTGCGTCTTTCAGAAAAGGCACCCAGTCTGTGCAGTTGGAGCTTCGGCGTGTGGGGAAATGGCCAGGGAGACTCCTGCATTGAGCACCTGAGTGTTTCACAGGCGCCTGTGGGGCAGGTCCACCACAGAGGGGACGCTGAGGCTGGAGGAGGTGGGGGCTGGGCTCCAGATCACACCGCTCGGGGTGGGCAGTGCTTCTGCCTCTTGGAGCTGAGTTCCCATCATTGTTACACGACTCTTTGGACCACATCCTGTAAGCTGTAGGAGAAAGTGGATCTTAAGTAGAGGGATAAATAACTGGTTCAGTTTTATCTTTCAGAACTACTTGTTAGGCATTACACCTGGACAAAGGCATAGCAAGAACCTGTGTTGTTGTTGGGGGGGGTGGGGAGGGGGAGACAGGGAGACTGGGGCCGAGGAAGGAGCCAGTTAGAAGGTTGCAGAACCCAGGTGAGGGGTGGGGCCCAGCTAGGGCAGCGGAGAGGAGGGCATGGATGGGGAACGTTTGGGGAGCAGCTGATGTGAGGAACGGAGTCTGACTCCTGGTTTCTGGCTTAAGTAAGGGGGTCACACAGGAGGGACAGGGTAGCAGCAGGAGCAGAGAATGTGCTCAAGTTTAAGACATTGATCTCTGCCCCTCCTGCCGCTCATTCTCCTCAACCAGCTCTTCCTCCCCAGCGCCCCAGGGCTTGCTACCCTGCCCTCGTCTCTTCTCTTCCCCCCTCAGATGGTTCATCCGGTCTCATAACTAAACACCAAGTCAGCAACTCCCAGCTTTACCTCGCTGGTCCAGACCTCTCTCAGCAGCAGACAGGGATGTCCACTCAACTTCTCATCTCCACCCTAATGTCCCACAGGCACCCCAACTTACACAGAGTTTAGACCCCAACTCCCTTACCCCAAAACCCACCTCTCCCCCATCTTCCCGATGGCACCAAAGGCAAACTCCTAGGAGTTATTCTTGACATACCCCTTTCCCTTATTTTCTGTCAAGTTAATCATTAAAGCAAGCCAAGTCTCCCACCAAAATATGTCCTGAATTCCCCTCCTCTGTGCATCTCCTCTAAGTCTCACGAGTTCAAGCTGCTGTCTTCTTTCTTAGAACCTAGACCCTGGCCTCCTCCCAATCATTCTACACACAGTGGCCAGAGGAGCGTCCCTCCGGCTGCTTCACTGGCACTAGCTTCTCACACTTCTTCCTGCCCCTGGTGCTTGGCACACGCTGTTCCCCTCTCTGGAATATTCTCTCTACTGGCTCATTCTTTCCCTCTTGGCAGTAAGTGTAGTTTCTCCAGAGAGATCTCTCATAGCATCGTGTTCTTTTTTTCTCAATGCATCTCTCACTTTGTAGTTGTGTTGTTTTTTTTGTTTTGGGGTTGTTTTTTTTTTTTAAATACATTTTATTGATTTTTTACAGAGAGGAAGGGAAAGGGATAGAGAGCTAGAAACGTCGATGAGAGAGAAACATCGACCAGCTGCCTCCTGCATACCCCCTACCAGGGATGTGCCCGCAACCAATGTACATGCCCTTGACCGGAATCGAACCCGGGACCTTTCAGTCCGCAGACCCACGCTCTACCACTGAGCCAAACCGGCTTCGGCTGTAGTTGTGTGTTTTTTATTTCATTTATTCACTAACATCTGTGCATCAGGCTGCTATGCCAGACATTTTGCTAGGTGCAAGGGGAGCAGCATTGAGTAAAAGGACACATGACAGGCACTTAGCGAGGATGTGGGGAAGGTAGGGGGCCTCTGGGTGGAGAGGAGGAGATCGGTGTGTGGCGACTGATGCTGGGGAGTCGGGTATAAGTCGTTAAAGCCACAAATGAGATCACCCGGGCTGAGGCTATGGCTTGGGGAAAAGCAGGTCAGACGTGTGTGCCTGGACTCACATCTGGCCTGATCCCAGAAAGGCTTTCGGGGTGTTGAGGTTGGAGCCCTGTGAGCGCCCCGCTGACAGGAAAGGCAGAGGAGAAGTCATCGGGAGACTGGAGTAGCTAGAGAGGTGTGTGGAGGTCAAGGAGATGATGGGGTTCATAAAGAAAGCCAGGAGTGACGAGAGTTTTTAGGGTGCCGCTCTGTGGTCAATAGGAAAATATACCAGGGTCAAGTACAATAGATGTGGGACGGTGGTTGCCTGAGTGTCAGGTGGAGGGAGGAGGGCAGGCTGGCAGCCGGGACGCTGGGCAGCGGGAAATGAGAGGAGAGGATGCGGAGCGGCCCACGATGAACTACTCTGGAAAGAAGCTTGGCTCTGAGGAGACAGAGAAGCAGGCGGGCGTGGGTTAGAGGAAGCTCATTGCTTCGTGGCACATGCAGGGGTGGGGGTTGGTGGGGGCTTTGCCAGAGCGAGCAGAGGGACAGGTTGAAGGCCAGGGAAGAAAGGTGGTCTCCGAGGTGGATGGTAGACAGAGTCCTGAGCACAAGCAGGAAGCTTAGACCTGAACCCCTGAGTCTGGTGGCTTCGCTAGGAGAAATGGTGCTGCAGGGTACAGGCATGGGCCTGGGAATTCATCTGACCTCAGCACCCTTCTCCCCACTTCCATTTAAGACATGCGTGACTTGAAAAGTTGCCTTACCTCCTGGATCATGGTTTTCTCTTCTGCACAAAGCTCATTGAGATCATGAGGTCCCCATGTACCTTCTATTCTGGGGAACGAATGAACAAAAGAAATGCAGGTGGCTGTTTGGTTGACAAGGGCATTAACAGGGCAATTCAATCGCTATTTTGATTAAGATATTTCAGTAGTGTGTTTCATTCATGTAACAGTTTTTTCAAATGAGCGTAATATGGACCAAATGTGGATGATGCCCTGTGTCGGACTTCTGTTTAGAATCCCATCATTAGAGGTGGTAGGTCTGTGGACAACGTGAAACATCAGCTGAAGGATCTGAGGAGTTGAACCATCATTAAGCATAGCTTAGGCGCTGATTCCTCTTAGGGGGCTCCTTCCAAATTTGTGTTCTTGCCCTCTGATAAGTTTACTCACGCTTTGAGGAGAGAGCTGAAGTATACTCACTCCTACAAACCTGAACTAATGCAACCTGTCCCTGCAACTTGAATGACTTTTTCACTAAAATCCTAATGACTGATTAGAGATGGCTCTGGTCCCTAGTTCCCGAGCCATATTCATTAAGTGGACTTGCTTTGTATAGTCTTATAGTTTTACGTATATCTTTATACGCCTTTCCTGTTTTGAGACTTGTCATAGATTCCATTTGTGTATCAATAATGCCAGCCAATGGTCTCTCATTTACCCAATAATTGTGTACGTAACAGGCAAATGTTATCAAAGGCAGTGAGCCCTGAAAGTAGCGCCTCGGAAGGCACCTGCTGGTATGTGGTCTGAAGCTGTCAGAGCTACACTACCCGGCCTTGAAGTGTGTGGCTGTTGGTCCCACGGCTTGTGCAGTGTCTCCGTATGCTGACTGCCTCCCAAATGGCACCTCTTCTCATCTGTCCACAAGCTTGTGCTGCTGCACTATCACCGTGTCCTGTCTTCCCTGCCGGAGAGTTGGGTTTGACTCGTGGCCCTCTTCCTTTCTCTTTCCACCAGTGGATCGTATTGTGGGCCTGGATCAAGTTACTGGTATGACCGAGACAGCTTTTGGCTCTGCCTATAAAACCAAAAAGGGCATGTTTCGTACCGTTGGCCAACTCTACAAAGAGTCTCTCACCAAGCTGATGGCGACTCTCCGCAACACCAACCCCAACTTCGTTCGCTGCATCATTCCAAACCACGAGAAGCGGGTATGTGTCCACCCCACGTGCTGGGATGTAACACGGAGCTAGGTCGGGTGAGAGCGGTCCAGAGCTAACTCTCTCCTTTGCTGACCAGGCGGGGAAACTGGACCCGCACCTCGTGCTGGACCAGCTGCGCTGCAACGGCGTCCTGGAGGGCATCCGGATCTGTCGCCAGGGCTTCCCCAACCGGATCGTGTTCCAGGAGTTCCGGCAGAGGTACTGACGGCGCACCCTCGCCTTTCCCACGGCACCGCAGCGTGAGGCTGTGCGGCATTCTTTTCCTGGTCCCTGGAGAGTTTCCGATTTCTCCACATGTAGGAAAGGCTAATCATTATTACCTTTATTTTTTGGTCAAGAATATTGAGTGCCTACTTCCTGGAGAGGTCAACGTGACTGCTGGTGGTGGTTCAAAAACTGCTCTGTCTGCAGGGTCAGCTGAGAACTCACAGTTGCTCATTTAAACAGTTATATTTGGGATTTAAACTTTTTTGTTTGTTTGTTAATCCTCACCTTTTTCCATTGATTTTTAGAGAGAGTGGAAGGGAAACATCAATATGAGTGAGACACATCGATTGGTTGCCTCCCATACTCACCCCCAGCAGGGCTGAGGATCAAACCTGCAACCCAGGTATGTGCCCTTCACCTGGAATTAAAGCTGAGACACTTCAGTGCTCAGGCTGACACTCTAACCATTGAGCAACACCTACCAGTACTAAACATAATTATATTTTTTATTGATTTCAGAAAGGAAGGGAGAGGGAGAGAGAGATGGAAACATCAACAATAAGAGAATCATTGGTCAGCTGCCTCCTGCATGCCCCCTTCTGGGCATGGAACCCACAACCTAGGCATGTGCCCTTGCCCGGAATTGAACCGGGACCCTTCAATCCACAGACTGATGCTCTATCCACTGAGCAAAACCAGTTAGGACCATAATTATTTTTTAAGCTCATATTTTAAAATATACTCATGCCCCATATCAATGTTTTGGTTAAAGACAGGTCTTTCCCTATTCAGTTTGGCTCAGTAGATAGAGCATTGGCCTGCAGAGTAAAGGGTCCCAGGTTTGATTCTGGTTAAGGACACGTACCATGGTTGGGCCTGGGCCGTGGTTGGAACACATGAAGGAGGCAACCAATCAATATGTTTCTCTCTCTCTTCCACTCTCTCTAAAAGATCAATGGAAAAATATCCTCAAGTGAGGATTAACAAGAAATTACTTAAATAAAAACAGGCCACTTGTATGACGGAGCTGAAAAATCCCTGTCACCTGGTGACCACACAGCCATTGTAAGGTCACAGCACAAGGCATTCCTCATGTGTTTGTGGTGCTTCTGGTGTAAACAGACCTGCTGAACTGCCATTCATATAAAAATTCACACCTACAGCCAAAACCGGTTTGGCTCAGTGGTAGAGTCTGCGGACTGAGGGGGTCCCGGGTTCGATTCTGGTCAGGGGCATGTACATTGGTTGCGGGCACATCCCCAGTAAGGGGTGTGCAAGAGGCAGCTGGTCGATCTCTCTCATTGACGTTTCTAGCTCTCTATCTCTCTCCCTTCCTCTCTATAAAAAAATCAATAAAAAATATATTTTTTTAAAAAATTCACACCTACAATTACGTACAGTCTATAACAGCAGTCGCCAACTGGTTGTCCAGGGACCACTGATGGTCCGTGAAGTCCGAAAGGTTGGCGACTGCTGATATGTAACACTGGATAACATAATAAATGACTACAGATTTGTGTATTTACTATACTACACTTTTTGTCATTATTTTAGAGGGGACTTCTATTTGTTAAAAATGTTTGCTGTAAAACAGTGTGCCGTGTTTTATTGGCAGCAGCCTCATTATCTCATGTTTCCCTCATGTCTTCTTTTTTCCCCCTGCATGTCTTGGTTACATCGCTTTCTCTGTGCTTCATTTAACTCATGTTTTGTACAGTGACATAAACAAGCTTATAGCCTAAGAACAATAGGCTGTACCATACAGCCTGGTGTGTACTGGGCTGTACCATCTAGGTTAGTGTGAAAATAACATAGAAATGGATGCAATAGAAACGGATGAAAACTTACGATGGGAAATTTGGTTTTTAATGTATTGCATAATTTTCTTCAATATTTAGTTTGCTTTTTTCTCCTGAAAATTGGATTTTCAATTATGACAGCCTTTGTTCCATAAAATAAACAAGCCTGCCATCACAGGATGGCCCTTTCTCCCACTGTTCCAGAGGGAATCCCGTTGAGCAATTATTCCAGTCCTTATCGGTGTGGGGGAGCCTGTATTGTGGCCTCATTGTATAATAAACAGGTAAACTCTCCCTTTTTATGGGCAGGAGGAAAAGGAACATAATTGGCATCCAGAAGACAAAGTTGATGGAGTAGCCAGGATCCATCTTTAATATAGCCACTTTATTTTAATATACCTATTTGCTCCACTTTATTTTTTTTAAATATATTTTATTGATTTTTTACAGAGAGGAAGAGAGAGGGATAGAGTGTTAGAAACATCATTGAGAGAGAATCATCGATCAGCTGCCTCTTGCACACCCCCTACTGGGGATATGCCCGCAACCAAGGTACATGCCCTTGACTGGAATCGAACCCAGAACCTTTCAGTCCGCAAGCCGACGCTCTATTCATTGAACCAAACTGGTTTCGGCTCCACTTTATTTTTATTGAGGTATAACTATATAAAATGCACAACTTTTTTTTTTTTCAATTACACTTTAAATTCAGTATTATTTTGTATTAGCTTTAGGTGTATAGCATAGTGGTTAGATAATCATGTGCTTTACCCAGTGGTCCCCTGATATATCCAGTACCCACCTGGCGTTGTACATCTATATAAAAACTTAAGCAACCGTTCGACCGATTACTATGACACACACTGACCACCAGGGGCAGACGCTCAACACAAAAGCTGCCCCCTGATGGTCAGTACGCTCCCATAGGGGGAACGGGCAGCAGACACAGGGCTCGTAGCTGGCCACCACAGCCCAGAGACTGCAGCGAGCCTACCAAACAGTGGCAGCAGCAGGCGCAGCACACTGGGATGAGCAGGAGTGGCAGGCGGCGTTGGACTGCTGGTTTCAGCCTGATCCCCGTTGTCAACGCTGAGGGACCCCACGCACTGGCCTCTAGTAGTTACTATAAAGTGCACAGTCTCCAGTGCACAGCTTAGTGAATAGACGTACACCCATACCAGTGCTATTTTGAATGTCACCCTGATGCGCTCTCCTCTCAGTGGAGGCCTCTGAGCATTGTCACGGCCTTTTCTAGGATCCAGTAGATCCCACAGATCAGGACAGAGAGCGATTCTCCTGCATCTTGGGCATGTGAACATTTGGGGGAAATAAAAGCAAAAGGTTTTTAAAACACCATGCTTTCATTCTTCTCTGCTACAGTTTTTATGCCTCGTCTTTAACATGGGAAAATTAGCCTTATGTCCATTTGTTTATTTTAAGAAATACAAAATCTGATTATCACTTGGTCACTTCTTTACTCTTAATTCGACATGATTACCTATCATATTGCTTCGTAGAGAAAGCAGAACTCACAGTTAGTAGGTAAACATTTTCACAAATTTTTACCAAAACCTTTTGGCTGCTTTTCTTACAGATACGAGATCCTGACGCCAAATGCTATTCCTAAAGGCTTCATGGATGGCAAACAGGCTTGTGAACGAATGGTAAGCTTTTCTTGGTTGTTCTGCTTTGTGGACTATTGATATAGTCTTTTCCTGCAGCAAAACATAAATGAGCTCTTTCGCTTTTAGATCCGGGCTTTAGAATTGGACCCAAATTTGTACAGAATTGGACAGAGCAAGATATTTTTCCGAGCTGGAGTTTTGGCACATTTAGAGGAAGAACGGGATTTAAAAATTACCGATATCATTATCTTCTTCCAGGCCGTTTGCAGAGGTTACCTAGCGAGAAAGTAAGTGGGCAGTCATCAAGGGGGCTGTGTCTTTGTGACAGATGAAAAGGAGGACATAGTGAATAGAGCAGACTAAAGACCGACAGCCAGCCAGCCAGGGGATGGGAGGGACCCTGTCCACTGTCTGCATTGCCTCGGACTGCGAGTGTGGGACGTGGTAAACGGCAGCGCACTGCCAGGGTGGCACCTCGGAAGAAAGGGGAGGGCGTCCATGATGCGTGCCCGAGGCTGGCTGGGCAGCTCGTGAACGGGGCTGGGCCCCAGCAGCAGCCGTTTCCCCGGGGGTGTCGCTGAGGGCTTGATTGGATACATGGACCCACTCCGTGTCTTAGCCAAGTAAGAGTGTGTGCCTTTGGGAAGTGGTCTCATGACAACAGCCATTAAGACGCTTTTCTTCACGTGACGAGTTTCCCCTGTGTCCTCAGGGCCTTTGCCAAGAAGCAGCAGCAGCTCAGCGCCCTGAAGGTCCTGCAGCGGAACTGCGCCGCGTACCTGAAGCTGCGGCACTGGCAATGGTGGCGCGTCTTCACGAAGGTGGGCTGCGGGCTCTCCACGGAGCAGCAGGGACCACCCCGGGCAGGAGACGGGGTGATAAACTGCTTCATTTTGTCGCAGGTGAAGCCGCTCCTGCAAGTCACCCGCCAAGAGGAAGAACTTCAGGCCAAAGATGAAGAGCTGCTGAAGGTGAAGGAGAAGCAGACCAAGGTGGAAGGGGAGCTGGAGGAGATGGAGAGGAAGCACCAGCAGGTGTGTGCACTGGCTTTCTAAAGTGCCCGCTTCCCAGCGGGCATGAGCGCCCCCACTGGCAGGAACTCCCACACGTTTCACTGTGGTCGCTGTCCCTACACACCATCTTAGTTTATGTGTATCTTTCACTCCTTTTCAAAGCAAGACCAGAGACAACAGATCCATCATGCCATGTATTTGTCTTTATATGAACCAAAGTCAGCCTAACCGCTTGCATTTCTGTCTTTGTCATATTTGGACACACAGTTGAGCATGTCTGCTCATCAGACATGTATTCGCACCTGTTTTCAATGAGACTCCCAGGGTTATCACCGTCCTGTGACTGCTCATGGGAAAAATAGGAAAAGGTAAAAGGAAGAGATGGGGCAAGGTCACCACCTGCCTCTTCGCAGCGACAGTAGTCTCCAGTCCCAGGCGGTGGTGCTTCGTGACAAATAGAGGCTCAGAACTGTTTATAGGTGACAGTGATAGAATTGGAGTGTTCAGGGCCAAAAAGATTAACAATAAAGGCCAAAAAAAACACTTGATACCAAACAGCTTTCGCAGTCACCATGAACTTCATTACATTTGAATGTTTTCCCTCTGCTGTCTTTCTGTCCCTTCATAAATTATCTTAATAGAAGGATGGGAGTTCCTAAAATAGAATGAGTTTAATATGCTACAACTTGAGACAGCAGAAACAACTAAAGTGTTTTCATCTGGCTTATTTTGCTACAGCCAAAACATACTTGGAAGTTTTGCCAGTGGCGGTAACATATTTGTAACTTTCCATTTCTTGGTGTATTGACCACTGAAATGTTGGTGACCTTGTGTGTGTGCTGGGGGCAAGTCCTAGCCTGGACGCTGTGTTGTGATTGCAGCTCTTAGAAGAGAAGAACATCCTCGCAGAGCAGCTGCAGGCAGAGACTGAGCTCTTTGCTGAAGCAGAAGAGATGAGAGCCAGACTCGCTGCTAAGAAGCAGGAACTGGAAGAGATTCTGCATGACTTGGAGTCGAGGGTGGAAGAAGAAGAAGAAAGAAACCAAATCCTCCAGAATGAAAAGAAAAAAATGCAAGCGCATATTCAGGTATCCATGGTCATATTTTATTTAGAATTATATTCTGGGTTTTCCCCGTGAATCTATTGAATGAATAGGAGCTTTGGGTTTAGATTCTTAATGTGTATTTTTTTTTTTTTATTGTTGTTGTTAATCCTCACCCGAAGATATTTTTCCCATTGATTTTTAGAGAGAGTGGAAGGAAAGGGGAGAAACAGAGAGAGAGAGAAACACTGATGTGAGAGAGATACATCGATTGGTTGCCTCCCGTACACACCTTGACCAGGGCCGGGGATCGAGCCTGCAACCAGGTATGTGCCCTTGACCAGAATCAAACCTGAGACCCTTCAGTCCATGGGCCAATGCTCTATCCATTGAGCCAAACTGGCTAGGACTCTTAATATGTATTTAGGGCAAAAGGAGTCTAAGTTATAAGTACCTACTCTTAAAAGATGGCCATCATTTGGAGCACACAAGTAATAGATTTTTTCAGTCACAGATTTGTTGTTTTGAAGAAGAACTTTTTCATGTTCTGATGTGGCATCTTACAGTATGCAAAGTGACTCAAAGTAGAACTCTCCCAAAGTCTGTAGCCCTTTTTAGGGAACATAATTTGTCCTTTGTGTTGTCAATGATTCTGCGCTCACTCCATTCACTTGATAAGCATCTAGGAGGTGGTTTGGTTCATAAGGAATGCTCAGCACTGACGTAGGAGATGGCCAGGAATCAGAATAAAACACTCAGTCCTTGCTGGTGGTCACTTTCTTACAGAGTAACAAACTGTACGGGAAGCACAGCTGTCGCTGTGGGTGAGTGCTCAGGCAGATGATGCAGGCAGTAGGTGCTCTGCGCATGCCCTCGGACACCCCCCCTCTCTCCTGCCTCCCTCCCTCAGCCTGTCCACATGCTCCGAGTGTCAGGGCATCTGTATCTGCTACCATTGCTTCAAACTAAGTTTCCTTCCCTCCATGTCTTTCCCTTAATATTTTCTTACTTGATAACTTACACAGATAATTCAGAGGTTCATCAAAACCACAAAGGACATATTATCTCCTTGGCAGATACCCCATACAGTAAATCATCTGGATACTTTCCATTCTTCAACGTGCACAGCTTTCAGATATCCCACAATAAGTTACATAACATCACAAAAGCTGTAAAAAGTGAATAACCCTTAATTATCAAGTCCACCCTAGACTTTATTCAAAGAATAAATCAATGGAAGCCATCTAGTTACCTAACATTGGGGGGTTATTAAACCAGGGTAATACTATACTGCTCTAAATGTTAAGATGTTTGTTTTCCTGGGCACTTACAACATTTTGATAAATGTTGCAAAATAGTAAACACAGTGGATCTAATTTAAAATATTTACATAAATTTATATGTAGGGTTTTATATGGAAATATGCGGAAGATCTAGAATAACACCAACAACAGTGTTTCCCTGGTGGCATTATCAGCAGTTTTGATTTTCTGTTTAAGAAGTTTCTCTTTGTTTAAGAAGACATGTTCATTTCAGTAATATGTTTTACTCATGAGAGAAGGACCCCAAATTCGCCTCTAATCCCCCACCTACTCTTTAATATAAACTCTACATTTTAACAACTTCCAGTGAAATACTTGCATTTCTCTACTTTATTTAAAAAACAAATATGTCCTTTTGGAAATAGGGTGTTTTTATTTTGGTTTGGTTTTTCAAGGCTTTTTATCTTCGTGTCCTTTACCAGACTCATATTTCTAGGGTTTTGCACTGTTAGCTTAATCTCCCTTTGTGACATGTAAGCTCACTCATACACATTCCAAAAATATTTACGGTAATATTGTTGTTATTTAAGTAGTCATGTTTTTCATCGAGAAATACCAGAGGCTCATGCTATTAACTGCATAGACTTTGGGAAAAACCCAACCTTGTCGCCCCCTTACTTCTCTCTTCTCTGAGGTTTGATCCCAATGTGCAAGCCTTTTTTGGATTTTGATTCAAACAAACTAACGTATGTTTGAGTGGCCTTTATCTTTCAGTGATACCTACTGCCTGGTTTTTCCAAATGAAATGTGTTTTGGATTTGCTTCAAAATAATGCTAGGGGAGAAGGGAGAAGGAGGTGACAGAGGAAGTGAGGTTGGCCGTGAGCTCATGCTTGTTAAGGCTGGGCTGTGGCATCTGTGTGGGGCACGTGCTGCTCTGTGCCCTTCACACCTGTGTTTGAAGTTTCCACAATAAAAAGTTAGTCTTTTGCAAGGGTTTCATTTCAACCATGAATAAATTATTTAGCCAAAGTTATCCTTGACATTTTTTTAAATTGACTGTACATTGCTTTGTATGTACAACCTTGTTCAATTAAATGTATGTTATTGTGTGCGATAATGTCGGAGCGTGAAATAAAGAGGAGCCTGTTATGATAAAAGTATGTGTAAGCACCAGAAGCCCACCCCGTGTGGTGCCGTGCTTGAGCTGTGAAAGGCACGCATGAACGGAGACAGCCCACTGCCAGGCCCTCTCCTCTTCCAGTTGTTGTTCTGTTCTCTCAGCTCTTGGCCAAACTTGTAGAGTAGACACAGATGAGTGTGTGTTTGATGTAGTTCTATATTATTCATATTTCCCTGTGTCACTGATTCAGAAATATGAATTTTAATTACTATATGTTATCCCATTTTATAAATATGCCAACTTTTACTTACCAAGACTTTTATGTAGTGTGTTCATAGTTCCTCAGTATTGCCCGTATTTAGCTCTGACTGGTGTGGCTCAGTTGGTTGGAGCATCACCCCATACACCAAAAGGTGGCGAGTTCAATTCCTGGTCTGGGTGCATAAGGGAGGCAAGAGGTCAATGTTTTCAATGTTTTTATATCAGTGTTTTTGTCCCTCTGTCTCTCTCCCTTTCTCTCTGTCTAAAAATCAATTTTTAAAAATTTTCACTTCTTTCTATGAATCACATCTGTTATTATTTTGTGACATTGCTGGCTTAACAGAACTGCTTGCTCTCACAGCTTGCTGCACGTTCTCATGCTGCCTTCCAGAAGGACTGACCCAGTTTGAACGTTAACCTGCGGTCATACAAATATCGGTTTCACATAACTGCATTTCATATTTTTAAAAAGATCCTTGCCAGCCCTAGCTGGTTTTCTCAGTGGCTATAGCGTCAGCCCATGGACTGAAAGGTCACAGGTTAAAAGCCAAGTCAAAGTCGTGTACCTCTGTTGCAGGCTTAATCCCCAGCCCCAATCAGGGTGTGTGCAGGACACAACTAATCTAATCGATATGTCCCTCTCACATAGATGCTTCTCTCTGTCTCTACTCCTCCCTTCCACTCTAAAAATCAATGGGAAAATATCCTTGGGTGAGGATTAACAAATAGATACATACACACATATATCCTTGCCGTTCTGACCATCACAAATTGGCGTTTGTTTGTGGGTTTTGTTTTGTTCGGTTGGATGTATTCCTTGATTATTCATGAGGCCGGGTCGGTGGGAAGGCGCGAGGCTGACCGTGTGTTCACAGGACCTGGAGGAGCAGCTGGACGAGGAAGAAGGGGCTCGGCAGAAGCTGCAGCTGGAGAAGGTGACAGCCGAGGCGAAAATCAAGAAGATGGAGGAAGAGATTCTGCTTCTTGAGGACCAAAACTCCAAGTTTATCAAAGTACGGAAGTTTCCCTCCCAAGCTGCTTTATAGCATGTGGACTGTGTATGTGGATGCTCTCATGAAAGTGGCTTTAAACAAAAAAGTCTACAAAGATTTCAGATCCGTTCATCTTCTCCCTTAGTCTCTACCTGTGGAGGTTTCTAAAGACACAGTAGCAATTTAATGTTGCAAGCCCACTAAGCATCCTTTAGACCTTTATCTTGCGCATTTTGTGCAAGTCAATCATTCATCGATGACTCGTCCTGCACTTTCCTTCGTCAGCACTGGTTGTGGGGATCTGAAGGCCGGCGGCTGGGCCGACCCTGAGGGGTCAGCACCAAGATGATGCGCCTTCCGCCTCTTTGGAGGATGTGGCCTGTTGGGAGGCAGGGCCAGTTGTGTTTTAAGTTCTACCAAACCCTAGTTGTTACTTGGGATGCCTTTCCTGAGGCAGCATTGTTTTTTCTGTTCAGGAAAAGAAACTCATGGAGGATCGCATTGCTGAGTGCTCCTCTCAGCTGGCTGAAGAGGAAGAAAAGGCAAAAAATTTGGCCAAAATCAGGAATAAGCAAGAAGTGATGATCTCGGATTTAGAAGGTTAGTGTTTGGGGCTAGAAAAATGTAGGACCGGGACAAACGAATGTTTAGATTTTACTCTCATCAGAACATGAATAGCAGAGTATGCACAGTGATTACTAATAATGAGCCTTCAGTTTGTGTTCGTTAAAACAGATCTAGTCACCACAATTTGTGGTAGAATAGCAATAAATTATCCTTCTTAATTCACTTTTTAATATTAGGTCCCGTGGTGAAATGCAGTGCCCTTTGTGGCCATACGTGGGATCTGACTCATGTTTGAGCTGTTTGCGCCTTGGACTGTGTGGGTCTGAGCCAAAAAGTGCACCGGGGCTTCGCTTCACACTGAGCCCCTTCCTGGCAGGGACAGGCTGCTGAGGGTGACAGTGTCCCACTCCAGTGGCAAAGATATGTCAGGGAATCCTGGGGATTTTTTCAAAATCAGTCCTTGCTTTCTTCAGAGAGAGAGAGAGAGAGAGAGAGAGAGAGAGAGAGAGAGGGAGGGAGGGGCTGGATGTTGGAAAGAGCATAGAAAACCTTCCCTTCAGCTAACAGCCCGGACGTTTTGGTCCTCACAACAGAGGAAGAATCTGCTCTTAATGCCCAGCATCGTGAAGGGGCGTGGTCGTGCTTTCCAATGCGTCACTTTTATAAGGAGGAGAAAGTTTGTTTGTTTGTTTTTAATATTTGGGGCTTTGTGGTCTTTGTCTTTTTTTTTAAGTATAGACCAGAGGTGGGGAACCAGGGAACCATTTTTCTGCCAAGGGCCATTTGGACATTTATAACATCATTCTCGGGCCATACAAAACTGTCAATTCAAAAATTACCCAGCTATCTTTGGTCAAACATTTAATTAACTCACCCCAATGCCTTGGCAGAGCCAGAGCAAATGATTGGGTGGGCCTTACATGGCCTGCGGGCCAGACGTTCCCCACCCCTGGTATAGACAAAAAGAAGGGATGTCAGAGGAAATTGTTTCACGGGCCGTTTTACCAGCGTATGGTCTGCTCGCCTGTGTGATGCGCCTGCGACGCTCGGTCTCATCTCCTCAGCATTTGGTTCCTGCAGGAGAGCACAAAGGCATGCAGGTTCTGTTGTGAGAAGGCATCCGAGTGCAATAGATCGCTGGTGTTGATTAAGGAATCATTGCCAAATCCAAGAGGGGCGGGCAGAAAAGCTGCAGAACCCTCTGCTCTCTCTCCCTCACGTGTGGGAACGGCTGTCTTGGTTCAACCAGGAATTCCCCATGAAAGGGAGTGGGTGACAGGCGGTTACACACTCTGCCAGCCTCGGCTGGGCCCTCTGCAAACCTGGGCACAGCGATGGGCGCACCGTGAGGAGCTTTCTGATCGCTTCGCTCTAATAGCAAAAGAACGTCCTTAGAACCCACCCAGCTTCTTCCCTAAAATACCCTCCTCCCACAGTGACCTGCCTTCAGTTTGATTTAATGGGTTTTGAATGACTCATTGGTACAGTGTTACCAAGGCAAGGACATGCTTTTAAATAAAACGGCTTCTTTTCGACTTTAACCGGTTTGCATTTGGAGTTTTTCATTTGGTGTGTCTCTCAGTGTGCTGAAGATCTGTGTCTTGCCTTAAAGAACGCTTAAAGAAGGAAGAGAAAACCCGTCAGGAGCTGGAAAAGGCCAAGAGGAAACTGGACGGCGAGACGACTGACCTGCAGGACCAGATCGCCGAGCTGCAGGCCCAGATCGACGAGCTCAAGGTGCAGCTGGCCAAGAAGGAGGAGGAGCTGCAGGGCGCGCTGGCCAGGTCCGCCCCCCGAGCCCGTGGGGAGGTGGGGGGCTTTAATGCCATGTCCAGGTGCAGACCCAAATCTGGGAGGGAACACATCATTTCCATGTTGGTGGGTGTGGTGTCCAAACCCGAAAACCCAGAAGAACGTCATGTATGTCAGGGCAGCAAGCCGTTCTCAGAATTCACACTGAAACTCACTGGTCTCCTCAGGAGATCCGTGGACATTCACAGCAGAAAAAATGACCGTGTCACAGCAAATGTTTGGTTTCCGTCCACGTCAGTATGTTCGAGAAATTTAGAGAAATCACTTTTCAGAAATGACACCCACCCCATACACTGGAAGCATGATTTGCTATTCAGTTCTAAACCATTGGAAACCATATGTAGTAAATATATTCATATCTAATACTTTCATTTCTTTATAAAGAATAACTATTTGGCTACATCGTCATAGGACTTAGAGTTTATAATCATGTCTGTAACAGATATTTTTCTGTCCTCTATTCACTGTTACTCTTACTTTGGCCAGATCTCTGCCTTTTCAATTACAGAGATGAGAGCTAGAGTCTAAAATTAAAGTTCTCACCACTCATGTCACGTCTGTCAGCTTCCCAGCTCTCATCCCAAACATCCCAACTCTGCCCAGTCAGGTATCTTCCCCCATCCGGCCACACACCCGTGAGAAGATGCAGATGGGAGAGAGAAAGCTAAGGTAGAAGGCCTGGGGGCGTGTCTTCTCTGCTGTGTGTTCTAAGAAGTTCTTTGAATTTTCCATCTCTCTAGGAGATGGTGTAGGATGGTACCAATGTGATAGGCTAGACTCTGCCTTGAGCAGTGTTCTAATTATAACCTTTTATAGGGAATTTTTTTATGTTGTAATCATTAAAGTGATTGTCTTATCTCTTAATGGAGATAGTTAGTCCTTTGCAGAGGGGGCTGGGCTCCGTTCTGATCCTGGCTTTGCCGACCAGCTTTTGGGCCTCGGGTCGTTGCCCGTGTACCTCCGTGCCTGCCGGGCAGGCCCTGTGCAGCGCGCCAGCCTCGGACCACGGCCGCCTGGCTGTTCCAACAGGGGCGACGACGAGACGCTCCACAAGAACAACGCCCTCAAAGTCGTGCGGGAGCTGCAAGCCCAGATTGCCGAGCTTCAGGAAGACTTTGAGTCTGAGAAGGCTTCCCGGAACAAGGCAGAGAAGCAGAAAAGGGACCTGAGTGAGGAGCTGGAGGCTCTGAAAACCGAGCTGGAGGACACGCTGGACACCACCGCCGCTCAGCAGGAACTCCGGTGAGTGAGGCCGGCGCCGCTGGGCTCCGCAGGAGAGCCGGCTGGCCCTCTCTAGGAGATGGTGTGCGTCGTTTTTTAAAAATATATTTTATTGATTTTTTAAAAGAGGAAGGGAGAGGGATAGAGAGCTAGAAACATCGATGAGAGAGAAACATCAATCAGCTGCCTCCCGCACACCCTCCACTGGGGATGTGCCCGCAACCAAGGCACATGCCCTTGACTGGAATCTAACCTGGGACCCTTGAGTCCACAGGCTGACCCTCTGTCCAATGAGCCAAACGGTCAGGGCTGGTGTGCGTCCTCTATGTTGTATTTTAAGTATCCTCTCTCCATCCTGGAGATAATGGCAGGTAGAACAGTAACAAAATAACAGTGGTTAGAAGCAAGCAGCCCACCTGGATAGGTGGATGGACTGGCAGACTGAGGTGCACAGGGAGCTGTGATCAGAAAGCCAGTCAGTGCAGGGTATCTAAGGGAAAGACGGACAGACACCCCACAGCGGCTGGAAGGAGACTGACTTGGACCACGTGGGAGAGAGGACCGGAGGGACTGGCCGGGACAGACCCAGAGGAGGAGATACGCGGGTGGCACGCATCTGCTGGCAGCGCCGCTGGTGAGCGGATAGCTGGGAGGAGGTACATGTTCAGGACAAGGAGCGGAAGGTGAGGACAGGCACTCAGGGCAGAGGCAGAGGCGGGGCTGTCACAGAGGAGCCAGCCACCGGGGCAGGCAGAAGGAAGTGACTAGCACAGGCGAGGAGCACAGCTGGAGACCTTGCACACGGCCTCCACGTGTCAGCCCACAGAGAGTCACGGAGAGCGGTAGCCACGAGCCGTGAGCTGAGACAAGCCGAGGTGTCATTTCCCAGATTGCTGTCTTGGCCTCTTCCTGACCATCGGCTTCCCCCTCAAGATTCAAGCTGTCAGGTGCAGGGGGGCCAGCCAAGGGATCCCCAACTCGCCGAGGCTGGCTGATTTGGCTGGCAACTTGCAGTGTGCACGCGCACACATGCACAAACGCACATGGCTGCCAATTGTCCCAGGGTGGAGTAGCCCATCGTACTGAGAAGAGGCTATGGGCAAAACCAGGACAAGGAATGGTTGGTGAAGTTGGTGGTCAGAGGTGGGAGGACTGGGAAGGAGGCGTGCTGGGGGGAGCCAGTGGTGCCTGGAAGATGGAGCCTGCAACGTGCTCACCCGGAAGCCAGGATCCAGAGAGAACCACGTCCCCGAGTCCGCAGGCTTCCTGGGCAGGGACGCAGGTCGGACTGCAGGCGACAGGAGAGGGCTCAGTGGTGGAGAAGCGGGGCTGAGCCTAGGAGCACGTCAGGGAGCGACCACGGATCCCTCAGACGGCAGCGAGCGGAGGCTGTGCCCCAAAGAGGCCCTGCCTCAGTTGGAGCCCTTCTGAGGCTGGACGCTTCCCGCCCACGTCAGCGCGTAACCTGCTTGTAGGAGCTTTGAGTCCGGCCTTCTCTAAAATGTCTGTTTTTTTACATTTGGAAGCCACGGAACTAGACTTGTTGAGCTATTTCTTCTCAGCTAGTCTTTTGAGCACAATAGAAAAAAGCGTGCTGATCATTTCTTCCATTCAACTCTTAAAAAAATATATAATTTTTAAGACAGTACAATTGATCCATGCATGTTAATTAAAACCGTGGCTGTCCTCAAATGTAGACTCTGCTGTGGGAAGGATGTGCTAGTGTTCGTGTGTCCTTCACTCTGGCTAAGGACCCCCACGCCCTGCCCCTCCAGCTGTGTATCACGTGATTGGCATAAAAGGAACGGGCTCAGCAAGTCAGACCCCTCACTGGGCTCCATGTTCACTGGCATTTTAGCTCTTTAGACATAGGATGAAGACCGAGGGAACAGGCCAGACCAATGCATCCTCACCGCCAGGCACCATGGCTGGTCAGCTGTGGAGGAGACGCAGGCTGCTTCCGGAAGGTTCCCTGCACCACAGTTAAGGGCATACCAACCTATTAGAAAATAGCTCCACAAGTAATTAGCAAAGTAATTGATATAGTACTTTTTTAGAGCATCACTTTTTTTTTTTTAACTTTTTCTTGATTTTCTTAAAATACGTTTGTATTGATTTCAGAGAGGTAAAGAGGAAAAGAGAAAGAAACATCAATGATGAGAGAGAGTCATTGATTAGCTGCCTCCTGCATACCCCCTACTGGGCATCAAGCCCACAGCCTGGGCGTGTGCCCCAACCGGGAATCAAACCATGACCTCCTGGTTCATAGGGAGGTTCTCAACCACTGAGCCACACAGGACATAACAAATTAATTTTTAACTTAGTCAGTCAGCTAATTCTGAGCTGCTTTCTCTAAAATACGTTTCTCTAGTACAAAACGTGAGCAAGAAGTGGCAGAGCTGAAGAAGGCTCTTGAGGAAGAAACCAAGAACCATGAAGCTCAGATCCAGGACGTGCGGCAGAGGCATGCGTCGGCCCTGGAGGAGCTGTCGGAGCAGCTGGAGCAGGCCAAGCGGGTGAGGGACCCTGCCCTGGAGAGCTGGCCGGCCGGGCGCCCTCCCCACCCTCGCTCCTGTGTGTCCGTTCCCAGCCCCTGCGGCTGTGGCAGCTGCTCCCTGAGGGCACCCTGCTTCTTGCAAAGAGCAGCGGCCCAGCACCATCTCCACGCACATTCCCTTCCAGGGCCGCCTCTTCACCATCCTCCTACGTCTCAGCTCAAGCACCTGCGCAGTTTGAGGTCCTCCTCCCACTCAGGTGCTGCCAGCGGGTCACCATCTGCCCCCACACACTCCCACCTCCCCGGCCTCCGACATCGAGCCGATGAAACTAATTTCATGTACCCTCTGACTCAGCCACCCTGGGCATCGTCTCCCAGGCACCATCCTTTCCTCCACGCCCTGTGCCTTTGCTCCCTTTCCCCGGCGCTCTCGCCTCCCGCCCACACACCGCCTCCCCGTCCATACAGTGACAGCGGAAGCCATTACTGACCTTCACATCAGCAGGCGTCCGTCGCTGCCAGGTGCTGTCACAGTGTGCGTGGGTCACGTGCACTGCCTTCTTTAACCTTCATTACAGCCCTGTAGGTTAGTCTCTGTCGTCCTCATTCAGAGATGAGGAAACTGAGGCACAGTCTTGTTGGAAAGTTAAGCCAGGATCACACCGCTAGTAAGTGAAAGGCAGATGGAGGCCAGGCAGAAAGGCCGCGGAGCCCCGTGTCACCCCCAGCTAGATTGCTTTGAAAGCCTATCCCATGTCCCCTGTTGTCTGTGAGGCACCCAGCCTCCTGTGACCGCCTTGCACAGTGCACACTGCTCACTCGTTTGCCAGCCACCTGAGGCTCAGAGCTCACCGCAAACAAGGACACAAATGAATCCTTACTCTTTGGGCAGGGTGTCGCCCCCAGCCTGCACTGACAGGATAATTACACAGTGCAGCGAGCCCCTAAATATCTGCACCTACTGCCCCAAGCAGTGTGCACACGTGTGCTCCTTCCACAGCCATGTTCACACCGCACAGCAGATGTTTTCCTTCACTCAGTGCTGATTCAGGCTCACCCTGTCAGGCACAGTCCGACTGCAAGCAAGCGGTGCCTCCTGGCATGTAGTAGTAAATGCCCTGTTTTCCTTCCCCCTCAGTTCAAAGCAAACCTGGAGAAGAACAAGCAGGGCCTGGAGACCGACAACAAGGAGCTGGCATGTGAGGTGAAGGTGCTGCAGCAGGTCAAGGCCGAGTCTGAGCACAAGCGGAAGAAACTAGACGCCCAGGTCCAGGAGCTCCACGCCAAGGTGTCCGAGGGGGACCGACTCCGCGTGGAACTGGCCGAGAAAGCTAACAAACTGCAGGTGAGCCCCAGCGACCACCCCACCTGCCCCCCCCCCCACCACACCTGCCCCCCACCCTTCCTCCCCACCCCCCCCCACCCCGGGCACCGAGCTCACCCTGCACCCCGAGGCCCCGAGACACCACAGCTCATGTGCTGTTCCGTGCCTGGCGACACATCGCCCTGAATGTCCCAGTTTGGGGCCCTGGTGTGTGAGCTCAGGTGCTCGCAGTTCCACGGCTTTCCTCAAAGAGAAGTCAGGAACCTGTGTGGCGGGAGGCGGGTGAGGGGCGCTCCCGGCACCAGTCTGCGCCGGGCATGCGTCAGGCTCCTGGCCGCGCCCTCCGGTCATCGCTCCCATCACCCTGCAGGGCCGGGCCATGAGCAGTGCGAGGCTCAGGGAGCGAGCTGCCTGCCTGCCTCAGTGGCTTCCCTCGCAGGTCTCGGGCTGGCGGTGTGCCCACCAGAGCCCTTCCCCACACTGTTGCCAAGACTGATGGCGTGCAGCTCTGAAGGACGTGCTAAGATGAGCAAAAATGGAAATGTATTCACTTGAGAACTTGTTTAACTTGTCCCTCTGCTCACCTGTCCAAGGACCAGCTAGAACACAGGACCCTGCTGTCCCTTCCACACCCCTCAGGCCTGGGGAAGGTCCTTCACTGGGGGAATAGAATTGGGGGGCAGTTAGAGCTAGCATTAATTGAGGATGAAAAACATTTTTTGACCACATTATTCATGAAATTTGACCATAAGAGGTAACTAAGTATTCATGATAAATATATACCAGTTTTTAAATGTATTTAGGAACGGTTCCATACAATATTGTTTCTACACGCAATACCTTATGTTGTCATCGCCACACCAAGTCTGGTAGCATCTGTGACCATGCAGTTATCACAGCCTTATTGACTAGATTCACTGAGTGAATAAGTGTTTTAAAGCTGAAAGAGAACTGCTGCTAGACTCTAAACTTTGAATCTCTATGATAAAACTTCCAAGTTCTATAAGAATGGTAATTATACCGACCCACCCCCAGCCCCCACACATGGTCCCTGCTTCTCAGTGTGAAAGGGGATGGAGGAGCCTCCTGCTGCCCTCAGCCTCCTCAGGCCGCAGCCCGGGGCGCCGGTGTGACCGCCTGTTCTGTAAGCCAGGCGCAGCGGCTGGGAGGCTCATGTGTGCGCCCTGCAGTTCCAAGCCCCGGTCCTCTCTGTGGCAGAGGACGTCCCTGTCTGAGTGGCCGGGACAGCGCCTGCCCACGTGGGCTCTGTCGGGAGGTGACAGGCTCTCGGAGAGGAGTCCTCCCCCAATGCTGCTGTCATGCTCCGGTGAGAGTGTGGTTCTGGGCCCTCGACCTGCTCACTGGGGATCGGATGTGACTGCTCTCCCTGCAGAATGAGCTGGACAACGTCTCCTCGCTCCTGGAGGAAGCGGAGAAGAAGGGCATCAAGTTCTCTAAGGACGCAGCCAGTCTTGAGTCTCAGCTCCAGGACACACAGGTATGCCAGGGGGAGTGAGGGCCTTGAATAACTACCGTTTCCAGAATCGATGCGGGAATTGCCTTCCGGGTTTCTGGTGGCTTCTGTCTGGAGCCCCTTGCACTGTAACAGCATGACATCCGGGAGATCCCGGAAGCTCGGGCTCAGTGCGGAGCCCGGTTCTGTCTCATGGGCACGTGGGCCAGAGGCGCTGCCTGGGCGTGGCTCACCCCTCGTGATCCAGTGGCACACACGTGTGTTGCTGGCCATTTCAATCAGGTGGTTTTGTTCTAATTGAAATTTCAATGTGCTGACCGAGGAGAAATAGTCCATTTTGTAAAAGGGTAGGTTGAAGCTTGCTTATCGTACTTTTAAAAGACTTGTGTTAAATTACTTGTTGGGATGGAAGTTAGGTTAATGACTATGATTATCCTGTCTAATAAAAGAATAATATGCAAATTGGCCATCACTCCAACACACAAGAGGCTGCCCCCATGTGGTCAAAGATGGCCACCTCAAGATGGCCAGCAGGGGAGGATAGTTGGGAGGGACCAGGCCTGCAAGGGAGGGTGATCAAACCTGCAGGAGAGGTCAGTTGGAGGGGACCCAGGCCTGCAGGGGAGGGTAGATAGTGGCAAACAGGCTGGCAGGGTAGGGCAGTTAGGGGCAATCAGGCTGGCAGGGGAGCAGTCAGGTATCAGGCTGGCTCGAGAGTGGTTAGGGGGTGATTGGGCTGGCAGGCAGAAATAGTTGGGAGCAATCAGGAAGGCAGGCAGGTGAGCAGTTGGGAGCCAACAGTCCTGGATTGTGAGAGGAATGTCTGACTGCCTGTTAGTCCTGATCCTACTGGGATCAACGGGCAGTCGGATATCCCTAAGGGGTCCCAGATTGGAGAGGGTGCAGACTGGGTTGAGGGATCCGACACACACACACACACACACACACACACACGAATTTTGTGCAGCAGGCCTCTAGTATGAAAATAATGTAGCAGTTTTCTTGGAGTTTTACATCTTAGATTTGAAAAATGTTCAAACTTTATGTGGTGCATATTTGCCAGGTTCTGGGCCAGGTGCTGGGGATACGGGTTAAAGATCTCAGACAAACAGGAATCAGTAGGGAGTGGGGCAGGGTCACTGTACTTGGGGCTACGCTGTGCGAGGCCCCTCCTGGCTGGGGAAGGAGACAGGGCCAGCGCACGGAGAGCTGTCTGGGCCTCTGACCGTTGTAAGTGAACGTAACGGGCAAGACACATGAGCATTACATTTTAGAAGAATTACTCTGGCAGAGAGCATGAAGGAGAAGCAGTTGGAGGTTGCCCAGTTCTGGAGGTGATCCTCGTGAGAAATGCCAGCGCCTGGCGGGCGGGTGTGGTCAGGAAGGGGGTCTGGGAGTGAGGCGGTGCCGGAAGGGAGGAGTCTTGGCCACGTACAGGTTCCTGCCTGGGCGCCAGGTGGACAGAGGATGCTGCCATTCCTCCTGAATGAGTTGGAAGCGGTATTTGTGTTAAGAGCTTTTATAACGTGATCACATATGTTTTTAAATCTTTTCTGTTTGTTTTTATCACGGTATTTCTCATACACTGAGGCTCTCTGTTCTTTATGACACGTATTTTTCATGAGGCATTTTGTGAAGGTGATTAAGATAACTTCAGTATTGACCTTCAATATTGGCCTTGTACAAAATAAACAGGAGCTTCTTCAGGAAGAAACGCGCCAGAAGCTGAACCTGAGCAGCCGGATCCGGCAGCTGGAGGAGGAGAAGAACAGCCTGCAGGAGCAGCAGGAGGAGGAGGAGGAGGCCAGGAAGAACCTGGAGAAACAAGTGCTGGCCCTGCAGGCCCAGGTGTGTCCTCGGACGCGGAGGTGCCCGGAGTGTGGTTAGCAGCTCGTGTCCCCGCCGTGCTGGCTGCTTCCGCTCACGGTGGGACCGTTAATCAGGCTGCACTACATAAAGCCCACTGAGTGGTTTTTCTCTGACCCAGCCACATGCCGATGCTGTGCGGGCTCTGATGTTGGAAGCATTTAAATAAAAAACACAGGCCCTGGCCAGGGTGGCTCAGTTGATTGGGCATCGTCCATGCCCCAAAGGGTTGCTGGTTCGATTCCTGGTCAGGGCACACTCAGGTTGCAGGAGTGACCCCCCAGTGGGGGGCTTGCAGGAGGCAGCCAGTGGATATTCCGCTACCACATGTTTCTCTCCCGCCCCCACTTCCTCCCTCTGAAAATCAATTAAAAATAAAGACACAGGACTGTGTCAACTATGTAGGTTTTAATCCAAGCATCATTTTCTAGATTATCAGCTAAGAAATTAAGTTACAGCCTGAGATTACTTTGCTCACAATCAAATAGCATTGATTTATTCTCTCTTTCCACAAAATATTGAAAACAAGTTTTTCCTTTTTTCCTCAAATGTGAAAATCCTTCTTTAATATTGATTTTTTTTTTTTTTTTTTTTTTTTTACCTGAAACCTAGCTGACTGATACAAAGAAGAAAGTGGATGATGACTTGGGGACGATTGAAAGCTTGGAAGAGGCCAAAAAGAAGCTGCTGAAAGACGTGGAGGCGCTGAGCCAGCGCCTGGAGGAGAAGGCCTTGGCCTACGACAAGCTGGAGAAGACCAAGAACCGGCTGCAGCAGGAGCTGGACGACCTGATGGTGGACCTGGACCACCAGCGCCAGATCGTCTCCAACCTGGAGAAGAAGCAGAAGAAGTTCGACCAGGTGGGCTGCTCTGCGTCCCCGTCTCCCGACTCCGGGCCAGCGCCCCCGTCCCTCCCTCCCTCCCTCCGGGCAGAGCTCTCGGTTCTGTCTTAGTTTAAAATAGTTTTTCATGTTGAAAAGCAAAACTGGACAGAGCAGGAGCGGGAGAGAGAGCACCCGTCACCTTGCAGCAGTGTTCGCAGCGTAGGTCGGACCCGCTGGGTGCGTCCGCGTTGCTTCTGAACTCGTGTTCACCCTTTCCCGGGCGTCCCCTGCAGCTGCTGGCGGAAGAGAAAAACGTGTCTGCCCGCTACGCGGAGGAGCGGGATCGCGCCGAGGCGGAGGCCCGAGAGAAAGAGACCAAGGCCCTGTCCCTGGCCCGCGCCCTCGAGGAGGCCCTGGAGGCCAAGGAAGAGTTCGAGAGGCAGAACAAGCAGCTGCGGGCGGACATGGAGGACCTGATGAGCTCCAAGGACGACGTGGGCAAGAACGTGAGTGTCCGGGGCCGGTCCCTTCAGGGGGGCGGCAGCTCCTCGGGGGCCGGGGGGCCTGGCCCAGCAGCGCGGTGGCCGAGGCGTGTTCTGGCGCAGGGTAAACACGGGTCAGCGTCCTGTGGAATGAACGGCCGGGTTTCCTGCCGTCCGTTCCCGGTGTGGGCTCTTGTCGCAGCACCTGCGGTGTGAAGATTGGTTTATTCTTGTCGCTTTCACGGTCGCTCCTGCCCTGACCTGCATTCTGGCTCATGGAGGGGCTCACGGTTCCTGAGTCAACAGGCAGTTACCAGGCACGAGGGCCGCTCGGAGGGGGCAGGCGGGATGTCGCCCGCCCGGAGCGGGGCTGCAGAGGAGCGGCGTGGCCTTCCCAGGAGCCCCGTTGTCTTCTCTGAAGACTCAGCTGCACTGGGGACTTGCTCAGTCTGGGGGTTCCGCGGTCCTGTTTCTCCTTCCACCACCACCTCCCATGGGAGCCCCTACCCGCCCCCTAGCGATCACCTGAGGGCAGTGCAGGGAGCCCGGGCCGGAATCAGAAGCAGGTTCAGGACGTGGCTTTCCCACCCGCGTCCGTCTGCCCAGCAGAAGCCGTAAGCTCTCAGCCTCGGTTCCTCACCTGACAAACGGACATTCCATCTGCCCGACTGAGGGAAGCAGCGAGGTGTGCTTCGAAAGCATGGTCCTCTTTGTCTCCTTTTCATGGGACGTGGGCTCCCGGCCACAGTCCGGGAGGGGAGGCTGCCCACCCTTCTCCCGGGTCCCCTCCAGCCTGCGCCCAGACCAGCCTGTGGACACGGAGAGGCCCTGGAGCAGGAAGGGCTGTGGCCACAGCGAGGCCGGAGAGCGAGCTCCGCAGCTTCCTTCTCCTGCTCCGCATTCGCGCTCTCTAGACTAATGGACGTCACACATTATCCCCAGAACGGTTCTGTTGAGCCTGTGAAGGGCCAGACTCTGCTGAGCCGGAGGCCCTCGCTGTGTAGTCTTCTCACCTCCCCCGAGAACAGCACAGCACGAACCCCAAAGGGGGCAGCAGCCCCTGCGCGTGCCTGTCTGCGGGGAGCTCTCAGAGGCGGCGGTGCCCTGCCTCACCCTCACAGCCTCACCCTCACAGCCTCACACCCTCATAGTCAGCAGGTCCCACGTGTGTGTTTTCAGTGCAAACATCCTCCCCAGCAGGAATGTGCTGTGGGGGCCGTTACAGACGCGGCAGAGGCAGGCAGCGGGCAGGTGTCTGGCACCGCACTCTCTGCATTGTTCTTTGGCTTAAGACCTCTCAGCCTCCGGTCATCTGAGAATAAAGTGCTGATGACCGAGCACGTGTGGACAAAGGCGTCAGTGCTGGCGTTTAAATGCAGACTGGGCTGAGGACTGGCAGCAGCCCAGAGGGTCAGGGAGGGATCCAGGGTGCCAGGAAGCTGGCCTGGTGCCTGCCGTGTCCAGCGCGCCATGGGGGCTGTAAGAGGAAGGCACTGGCCGTGCTGGGCCCCTGCTGGGGGTCAACTCGATGCTTCCTGTGGTTTAGGTTCATGAACTTGAAAAGTCCAAGCGGGCCCTGGAGCAGCAGGTGGAGGAGATGAGGACCCAGCTGGAGGAGCTGGAGGACGAGCTCCAGGCAACAGAGGACGCCAAGCTGCGCCTGGAGGTCAACATGCAGGCCATGAAGGCCCAGTTCGAGAGGGACCTGCAAACCAGAGATGAGCAGAACGAGGAGAAGAAGCGGCTGCTGATTAAGCAGGTCGGTGGGCGTGTGGCCATTCTCAACCCCACTCAGTCACGTTAGAGCACACTAACTTGGAGTCAAGTCACCTGGTCACGCGATATGTTTATCCTTACAATTTAATTAAATTCTCATATTTACTTTTTAACTTAAAAAGTGGTTAGGCACGTATGACTTATGTTCTTTTTTAAATGTATGTTACATTTCTAAAAATTTACTTAAAATTTTTTGTGAATATTGTGACACTCCCTTGGAGTTCATGGTGTCAACTCTTAGACTATTTAATTTTTTTATTTTCATTCCATCATTTTTATTACATTAGTCACTTATTGATAACAAACTAGTTCAGACTTAGTGACTTAAGACAACCCTTGTTACAGCCCGTGTGGGTGGGATTCCGGACTCAGTGGTCATCACCGGGAGGCCTGGCGGGGCTGGGGACCCCGTCCAACAGGCTCACCCACGTGGGCCTGGCCCGGGAACCTGGGCTGCTTGGGTGTCTGTCTCCGGAGGGATCGCCCCGAAGAAGTCCTGTCTTTCCGTTTTGTTGCATCACCTGGAGCATGAACTTGTGCCCTCGCAGCAGTCTGCGGGAATGGCGTGGTGTTTGTAAAGGTCTCTGCACAGAATGCACCGCAGTGGCTCTGTCAATAACAGGAGCTGCTTGGCAGCAGGGCCCGTGCAGTCGCCAGAGCCCTGTCGGGCGCCGGGCTCCGGGCGTGACTGACAGCGACGCTGTCTCTCAGGTGCGGGAGCTGGAGGCAGAGCTGGAGGACGAGCGGAAACAGCGCGCACTTGCTGTTGCTTCAAAGAAGAAAATGGAAATAGACCTGAAGGACCTGGAATCTCAAATTGAGGCTGCAAACAAAGCTAGGGATGAAGTCATCAAGCAGCTTCGTAAACTTCAGGTACGTGCAGCCGGCCAGCGGTCCCGGATGGTGCGTCCTGGCCCACGGAGCCCAAGAGGAGGCTGTGTGGCACCCCGCCTGCCGCCTTACCGCCAGGAGCCGACACCTGGGCTCTGGGTGCGGCAGGCCCGAGGTGGCACCGCACTCAGCGAGCGGGCAGAGCCGGGTGGGTCAGCAGGTGGAGCCTCCACCAGAGGAATGCCCTTCGGGCTCTGCCACCAGCTTCTGTTGGCGCTTAGCCAGCGGGCCACGGCCACCAGGCGGGAAGTGGCCGGGCCTGGCAGGATGTGATGGTCCCTCCTGTAAGCAGGCACAGCCTCTTGGGGGATATCTGTTAGTTGTGACAGAAAGCTTTAGAAAACCTCCATCCCTTTGACCTTGGTGATTCCGTGTCTTGAGAATTTGTTCTAATAAAATATACAGATGAGAAGAAATATTCATATACCAAGGTCTCAGCTGAAAAGTTGTTTCTGATAGCAAAACTGGAAACAACCTAAATGTAAGGGGACTGACAGCCGTTTAAATGAAGGAGATATTATAACTATGAAACCACTGCCTGAACCAAGGTCATGTTTTCTCCTAAGAATTTTATACCTTACTCTCTTTTCAATTCTATTTTGAGTTAATTTATTGTTATGTGATTTTTATATAAACTCAGTTCATTATGTCTATCTAGTTGTCCCAGAACCATCTGTTTAAAAGACTATTCTTTCACTCATTGAATTAATTCTATTCCATTGATCTACGTGTCTGTCCTTATGCAAATACTACATACTCGTGATTACCATAACTTTGTAAACTGTAACTTCTCCAACTTTGTCCTTCTTTTTCAAGACTGTTTAGCTATCCAGGTTTCTTGCAATTCCATGTGAATTTTAGGATCAACTTGTCAATTTCTGCAAGGGAAAAAAAAAGGCCAGCTCGGGTTTTGATATTGTGTCGACTCGATAGATCAGTTTAGAGAGTATTGCCATCTTAACAATATTGTCTTCCAGTCCATGAACATGGCCATCTTTCCATTTATTTACCTATTATTTATCTTTTTTCAATGATGGTTTATAGTTTTTGGTGTATTGGCCTTATACTTCTTTAACTAAACTGGTACCTAATATTTTATTCTTTTTTATGTTATTTTAAGTATAAACATTTTCTTAATTTTTGGAATGCTTATAATTAGTGTATAGAAATAAAATTGACTTTTGTATATTGATCTTGTATTCTGCAACCTTCCTGGACTCGTTTATTTGTTCCAGTGGTTGTGTTTTGTTTTTTTAATGAATTCCTTGATTTTTTGTATACAAGATCTAATTTTATTTCTTCCTTTCCAATCTGGATGTCTTGAGTATCCTTTTCTTGGCCTAACTGCTTTGCCTAGATTCTCCATTACAATTAACAGAAGTGGCAAGGTCAGATATCCCTATCTTGGTGCTGATTTTAGGGGGAAAGCATTCAGTCTTTGACCATTAAGTATAACAGCTGTCAGTTTTTCTCTCATTGAATTAACTCTATTCCATTGATCTATATGTCTGTCTTTATGCAGATACTGTAGTCTTGATTGCTGTAGCTTTGTAAATTTTAAAATTTGGAAGTGTGACTTCTCCATCTTTGTCCTTCTTTTTCCTGACATAGAGATCTATGGGATAGAATTAATTCAATGAGACTGGTCTTCTTAACAAATGGTTCTGGGACAACTGAATGCCCTTTCTCAAAGTTGAGGAAATTTCTTTCTATTCAGCTTGTTGTTTTTATAATAAAAAAGGATGTTAGATTTTTGTCAAGTACTAACTTCTGAATTTTGAGATTATATGGTTATATTCATTCTTTGTTGTTATCGAGCCAGTCTTGCATTGCTCATATAAATTTATTGGATGGTGGGATATACTGGTGTATAAGTATACATGGTGTATGATGTTTTTATATGTTGATGGATACGATTTTGTTGAAGATTTTTGCAAATATACTCATAAGGGCTATTGGTCTGAATGTTTTCTTATGATATCTTTGTCATTTCTATATACTTCTATATTTTTAGTGAATGTATATTACTTTTATAATCTGGAAAAAAATATGTTTAAAGACAAAGAATGAAAACTACCCCAAACCTGCTTCCTATTTATCTTTAGGCTCAGATGAAGGATTACCAGCGTGAATTAGAAGAAGCACGAGCCTCCCGGGATGAGATTTTTGCTCAATCCAAAGAGAGTGAAAAGAAACTGAAGAGTCTAGAAGCGGAAATCCTTCAATTGCAGGAGGTTTGTTTGCTTACTCATCCATTTGTTCAAATATGTCCTTGCAATTTCTCCAAGAACAGATAAATATCTTAATGTCGTTGTAGCTGTGTGTAATTTATCTGTCCGTTTTTAATGTGTGACCGGACCATCTTACTGCTTCAGTTCAGTAAATGGTCACACTTTGATGCTGTTCATATATTCCTCTATCTGGCTCAAGGCAGAGGAGCTGACCGGTAGCTTTTCTAGCCACTTCCCAGGCTTGTCTCCTGTGCAAGAAACAGGAGAGGTGTTTGCTTAGAGTTGGCAAGCATCAGGACCACGTGACTGAACTCTGACCTAAGTAATAGGAGATTGCCTTTCACACAGAAGCACTACATGTCATACTTAAAACAGGAGGTTACGTTTCATTGAATTTCTAAGTGGATCATCTTGTAATCCAACAAGTGTTACCAAAAACAAATAAATGCGGAGTTGAGCTTGCAAGAAAGAAAGGGCATTAACTCCCTGAGTGTCAGAAAAGTAGAAGGAAAACCCATAAGTTAACTGAGCAGATGCTGAGATCACCTGAGAGCCAGCTTCAGGACTAGCCCTTCTTGGTTTCTACTCCGTTCATTTTTGCTCGTACCTTTATTTCCTTTGGATTTTTTCTTTTTCTTGAGTTGGACACTCAGTAATTTCCAAGCTTTCCTGTTGTCTAATATGTGCATAGAACACTATAAATTCCCCGCAGGGTACTGTTCTCAATGTATCTATTTGTTGTCATTTAAATTCAAAATTTTTCTAATTTTTATGATGGTTTCTCTATCTTATGAATAACTTAAAAGTGCGGTTTAAATTTCCAAATGTCTGGCATTTATTTTTCTTAGTTGAGGTCTAGTTTCATTATGGTTAGAGAACTGAGAGTCGGGCAGCTCTAGGGCCATGTGTGCTTAAAAAGAACATGGACTCATCATTGAAGCAACATGTCAAGTTCCATGAACGTCATCGTGTAGTTGACCAATGATGCCGTCCCCGGGGGCGAGGGCCCTGGGAGCCTGTGCCCTGGAGAGCGCCTGGCGTGGCCTCGGTGCCCACACCCTGCGGGCAGCACTCTGACCTCAAAGCTGCAGGTCTTTAGGCATCAGACAAGGGCTCTCACATCGTGGAGGTTACTGACCTGGAAGGCTAGCCTGTCCTCCTTCTGTTTCTGCTTTTCCTTCCTCAGCCACCTTTGTTCATTAGGTCACAGGCCCTCGGGTCCTCCACTTGCTCCCGGCCCCTCCCGTCTGTAGCTCACCAGCCAGTGAGGAAGGAGCCCTTGCTGGGCCCAGGAAACTGGACCGCAGATGCCAGAGGGCAGAGCTGCGCTTCCAGTGTGTTCCACAGAGGCCTTCGGGTCCGGCCCCGAGCCCCACCTGCTGCTGTCACAGCCTGGACTCCTGCCCCGCCCCACGTGCTAGTTCTGTGTGGGAGCCGGGCCTTCGGGGCCTGCGTCCTTTGCTCTAAGCTCAGCGCAGGTGCCCGTGCAGAGCACAGGAGCTCCATGCAGCCCTGCTCCCCAGGCACCGAGATGTGCTCTTCCAAACAGCACCGTGTGGAGGGGCAGCTGGTGGGAGGCGGCTCAGGCAGGAGGGGAAGGACTGAGTGTCTGCTGTTGGCCAGCATTGAGGCTTTGGGCAGGCCCTTCATCCACAGCCTCGGTTCCTCCCTAAAGTAAGGGCTCTGTGCATCCGATTCTAAGAATATGATCTTGATCTTTACCCAGGTGGGTGAGAAATGCACAGGCACCTGCCTGTGGGAGACCCGCTTCCCAAGGAAAGGGAAAAAGCTGCCAGAGGGTGGCAGGCACGGGCGTCCCCTCACCCTGCCCAGTTCTCCGAGGCCCTGCAGAGCCGCAGGAGCCTGAGGGCCAGGCTGCCGTCTCCTTCAAGGAGCAGGCCCGCGCTGAGCTGAGGTCACACTCCACCCTTCCCAGGGGCCTGTGCTCCTCGCCGTGCTGCACGAGAACCTTATTTTCTGGTCTGTCTGGTTAGTGAACTTGACCTCCAGACGTACTGCTGGTCTGTGCAGCAGACACTTCCAGACCATGAGCTGGCACAGTTCCGTGTCTGCATAAAGCTCGCGCTCAGTTTATGATTAAGAAACACCAGCTTTCTCAGGAGGGCAGGAATACAGCCGTCTCCTTACAGAGACCAGGCCTTCCCTCCGTGGGCACCTTTGTGCCCGGATGGTGACACAGCACAGCCTGGCTGACCTGCACCCGGACATCCCCTCGGCAAACCCGCCAGCTTATTCCTCAGGTCCCATGGCAGTGTGAGGCGCACACAGTGCCTGAGCAAGGTGGCTGGGGCCTGCAGGCTTCATCAGATTTCACATTTGACGCAACATTAGCAGCCAGAGTTTAAATCCTGCCCGACTTCCTTTAGGAACTTGCCTCGTCTGAGCGAGCCCGCCGACATGCTGAGCAGGAGAGGGATGAGCTGGCAGATGAGATCGCCAACAGCGCCTCTGGCAAGTGAGTGTTGGGGGGGGGGGGCGGGGAGGCTCTGGGGCTGCTGCACCGAGAAGGCGGGTGGGGCCGGCATACAGGGGTCATGATAGGTTTGCTCGTCTGTTCAAACTCTGGAAAGGCGAGCACAGGATGCTGAGCCTCCGGGCTTCCTCGGCTACGGCGGCTGCCGCCCCAGGCAGGCCCACCGGGCAGTCATACCCACAGTGGGGAGGAGGTACATTCAGAACGACCCTGATTTCTGCAGACTGCACGGCTTTGCAATGCAGTCTTCACTCAAATTCATTAGGTTTGGCAAGTAGAGTCCTTAGACTTTTTCTGAAAGACTTCTCATTTAAAGACCCTTTTTTCCAACAAGGGAGTTGCTTTCTCTATTTAATTGCCATCTGCGGGTTCATCACGGCCACTTTCTAGCATGCCATGAGGAGTTAGCATTTATCTCAATGCACTAGGCAGCCAGTAGAGTTTAAACAAGTGCCAGGATCTTTTTGCCCTTCGGAGCTGCTGGCTGCTGCCTGCTGGCCGTGGAGAACAGATGGAGGGGCAGCAGGGAAGCCGCTGGAAGGCTCCCATGGTCCAAGTGAGAGGGAGGGGGCTGGAGGGGCAGGCTCGAGGACAGAGAAGTGAGTGGTGAGTGGAAGTGTGATCAGTGGGACCTGACAGATGAGGGACGAGGAAAGCCGAGTGGTGTGCTTGCAGCAGCCAGTGGGAGGAGCCTGAGAGCCCAGGCCGCCCGGGGCTGGTGTCGAGCTGTCCGCCTCCTGCCCACAGGTCTGCTCTGCTGGACGAGAAGCGGCGCCTGGAGGCGCGGATTGCACAGCTGGAGGAGGAGCTGGAGGAGGAGCAGAGCAACATGGAGCTGCTCAACGACCGCTTCCGCAAGACCACGCTCCAGGTGGCTCCGCGGCAGCGGCACCGGGAGGGGCCAGGCTGCCCACCGGCACTGACTAAACCGTCTCTCCCCGCAGGTGGACACGCTGAATGCAGAGCTGGCGGCCGAGCGCAGTGCCGCCCAGAAGAGCGACAATGCGCGCCAGCAGCTGGAGCGGCAGAACAAGGAGCTGAAGGCCAAGCTGCAGGAGCTGGAGGGAGCTGTCAAGTCCAAGTTTAAGGCCACCATCTCGGCCCTGGAAGCCAAGATTGGGCAGCTGGAGGAGCAGCTGGAGCAGGAGGCCAAGTAAGAGGTTTTGATGCAATAAACCAAAACTTCATCTCCACAGGCCAGGCCCAGGTTCAGCCTGCAGCCAGGCACTTGCCCTAGGGCAGTGTTCAGCAAACTGCGGCTCTCGAGCCACATGCTGCTCTTTGGCCCCTTGAGTGTGGCTCTTCCACAAAATTCCATGGCCTGAGTCTATTTTGAAGAAGTGGCGTTAGAAGTTTAAGTTTAAAAAATTTGGCTCTCAAAAGAAATTTCAATTGTTGTATTATTGATATTTGGCTCTGTTGACTAATGAGTTTGCCGACCAGTCCTTGGCAGGGGAGGTGACAGGGACATGTCGGGGGAGGGGGGGGGGGTTAGCCTCCAGGAAGGCTGGGCTTGCCTATCAGCTCTGCCAGGATTCAGTGGTCAGACTGTGCCAGGATTTCTAGGTGCCATAGTTATAACTTTTGATTTTCCAAGTTGGTGGCGTCACATAAGGTTTTTATGATTTGTTGGCAGAAATGCATTTTGACAAAAATAAAAGCTTTTCTCCACCCATAGGAAGGAACTGCTTGACAGTTTCTATTCTGTTGTAGTAAACCATTCTGAAATTTATGAGGATTGCCCAGTGTAGCTTCGGGCAGCCATTTACAAAGCTCTGAGGCCTTCAAACTCACCCTCTTGCTGGGGAGCTTGGAGCCCAGAGATGCAGGGCCTGCGATCAAGCGCAACGCCCGACGCCCTTCCCAGCCCAGCACCCGCTTCCACACCACTGAGCTCCGGTGACAGTCAGTTAGCCGTCAGCTGTGATTAACAGGACTCATCCTTTCCGCTAGCCCCACCACGGTCCATTATTTTTGTATGACATTTGTCCAGGAGCAAATGGATTTTTTCTGTTTGTTGGGGGGAAAGGTCAAAAGGTCTAAAATTCAGGATTCAGAAGACGAGACATGATTCAGAAGAACTGACACGTAGCCTTATTCAAATCCATACGAGCTTTAATAGGAGAAACATACAGAGTCACAGGCTCAAGAGGCCAACATTTATTTCCCAAACGCCTTTACTGCTGGACATGCTCATCTCTGGGCTCCCGTACGCTGCTGTCAATGGAGTTCACTCCGTAAGTCCTCTCTCCTTCCTAAGGAACAACGTGGGCCTGTCTACACTGATACGATAATTCCCATCGGAATTATCCTGTCTAGAAACTGGTGATTTGACTTCTAACTAAAGGGGGAGTATGGGCGGTCCCTTCCCCCGTGTTAGCTGCCATAGCCCCGAGCATCATAATGGGTCTTTGTTCTGGTCTCCAGGCTAAGAAGTTAGGTGATTAGAATAACCAACCAAGGTTTCTGTCTTCAAAAAGTCTGCACTCAGTATTACTGACAGGCAGCTTGCATGTAACATTTGATCTTCAGGAGATCCCTAAATTAATATCTACATGTGAAGGAATACGCTTTTTCTACCTATCAGCTTTAGAATACATGACTAAGACCACTCGTGACCAGAGGAAGAAATTTCTGGGCCGTATTATCATAATTTATTCTCATCAGAGAGGCCCTGGAATACATTCCAACATTTGTCACCTTCCAGACAAAAAGGATTTAAAAAATGATTTTCCCACCGAGACCGGTTTGGCTCAATGGATAGAGCGTCGGCTTGGGGACTTAAGGGACCTGGGTTCGATTCCGGTCAAGGGCATGTACCTTGGTTGCGGGCACATCCCCAGTAGGGGGTGTGCAAGAGGCAGCTGATCGATGACACTCTCTCACCGATGTTTCTAGCTCTCTATCTCCTCCCTTCCTCTCTGTACAAAACCAATAAAATATTTTTTTTTTTTTTAATGATTTTCCCTATGGGAATTATCATGTCAAGAATTACAAAGGCTGCCGAAACCCGTTTGGCTCAGCAGTAAAGCGTCGGTCTGCGGGCTGAAAGGTCCGGGTTCGATTCCGGTCAAGGGCATGTACATTGTTTGTGGGCACATCCCCGGTAGGGGGTGTGCAAGAGGCAGCTGGTCGATGATTCTCTCTCTTCGACGTTTCTAGCTCTCTATCTCTCTCCCTCTCTGTAAAAAATCAATAAAATATATATTTTTTTAAAAATTACAAAGGCTTGCCAAAACCGGTTTGGCTCAGTGGATAGAGTGTCGGTCTGCGGACTGAAGGGTCCCAGGTTCGATTCCGGTCAAAGGTATGTACATTGGTTGCGGGCACATCCCCAGTAGAGGGTATGCAGGAGGCAGCTGGTCGGTGTTTCAAGCTCTCTATCCCTCTCTCTTCCTCTGTAAAAAATCAATAAAATATATCTTTTTTAAAAAATTACAAAGGCTAATTCATGGTTGATCATCTTCTCAGGGAACGAGCAGCAGCCAACAAACTGGTGCGACGTACGGAGAAGAAACTGAAGGAAATCTTCATGCAGGTGGAAGATGAGCGTCGCCATGCAGATCAGTATAAAGAGCAGGTAAGGGGAGGTGGGCCGGGCTGAAACGCTTTACCGGGAGACGGATGCAAATGAGCTGTTACCGTCTGACGGCTAAACTAAGAAAATGCTCTTTGAGCCGAAGCCGGTTTGGCTCAGTGGTAGAGCGTCGGTCTGCGGACTGAAAGGTCCCAGATTTGATTCCGGCCAAAGGCATGTACATTGGTTGCGGGCACATCCCCGGTAAGGGGTGTGCAAGAGGCAGCTGGTTGATGTTTCTCTCTCATTGATGTTTCTAGCTCTCTATCTCTTTCCCTTTCTCTCTGTTAAAAATCAATAAAAATATATTAAAAAAGGAAAGAAAATGCTCTTTGAGGCTCCAGCTGGGTAGCTCAGTTGGTTAGAGCATCTTCCTGATACACCAAGGTTGCAGGTTCGGACCCATCAGAGCATATACAAAAATCAACTGATGAGTCCTTAAGTTAGTGGAACAACAAATCAATGTTTCTCTCTCTCACAAATAAAAGAAAAAATTTTTAAAAGAAAATGCTGCCCTAGCCAGTTTGGCTCAGTGGATAGTGTTGGCAGTCAAGGACACGTGCCCAGGTTGCAGGCTCGAGCCCCAGTAGGGACTGTGCAGAAACATCATTGATGTTTCTCTTCCTCTCCCCTCCTCTCTGAAATCAGTAAAAATACATTTTAAAAAATGCTATATAAAACTCAAGTTCTAATATTGTTACACACATGTGCTGTTCCTGCCAGGCACTCCGGGTGCTGGGACACACAGGTAACACTGTCCCCCCCTCTCAGGGCCCCCGGCACCAGAAGCCCAGAGGGCGGGAGAGCACTGTGAGGGCCATTTCCCCCGCGAGACGCGCGCTCCAGTGCAGCGCTTCCTCCGGCCGGCAGCCGCCCCCGCCCCCCAGCGTCTCCGGTGCCTGGAGTGCTTCCCGGGCAGCGCTGGCGCTCGCGGTGTCGGCGGGAGGAGGGAGGACGCAGGACGGAGAGCAGAGAAAGGGAATGCCCTGTGGGACCCGAATGCTTTTCCTTGTCTGCATCCAGGCGTCTTTTAGGCGTCTTTTTTTTTTTTTTAGCATCAAGAGGCTCTAGTAAGGCTGCGGCCATGTCTGCATAGACAGCCTAGGTGGCTGAGGTGGACGGAAATGATTCCACTGCCTTTGGCCCCAACACCCCTTCCCTTCTCTTCCCCTGCTCATCAGGCACCGAGCCTCCCCTCTTCCCCCGCCCTCAGCATAAAGCCTGGGGCAGTTCTGGGGGGGCGTGAGCTGCACCTGCACGAGTGTGACCATGTCTGGTCTTCCATGCCAGGCCTTGAACTCGAAACACCCATGTTGAAAGGAGGCAAACATGAGTGCACCGCCTCCTGGCGTTGGAGACTCACATTGCTGGCTCTCCCATAGGTCAAGTATCTACCCTCCCACAGGCTTGTATCTTAGGTGAAGACACTAAACTTTCTCTGTTAAAAACTCAGGGAGAAATGGGGCTGTAAGTTTTAGAAATTCCCTTTAGCAGTTTGCTCGGTAGAGACTGGCTTTGCTGACAGTGGCAGGTCAGAAGGCCTGAGACCGGCCCCTCTCGTAAGCACGCACTCGTGGATGTGAGCGCAGGCACGCAGGATGCGGTGGGACTGTCTTTGGACTCACCAGTTCGGTTTGACTTGATTCGTGTCACTTCCCCGAGATGGAGAAGGCCAATGCCAGGATGAAGCAGCTGAAGCGGCAGCTGGAGGAAGCGGAGGAGGAAGCTACGCGTGCCAATGCGTCTCGGCGTAAACTCCAGCGGGAACTGGACGATGCCACCGAGGCCAACGAGGGGCTGAGCCGCGAGGTCAGCACCCTGAAGAGCCGGCTGCGGTGAGCGCCCGGGGGCTCTGAGAGGCGCTGAGGGTCTCGTGGAGTCTGCCCAAAGCTGCTAAAAACAGCCCATTCTGGGCGTGGGGCTGGATTTTTCTGGTTTACTTAGATTCGTGTAGAGTTACTCGTTCTTGCTCTAAGTTTACACACTCGGGATTTCTCACCTTCAGTGATCCTTAAGGAGGAACAGGCCGCACCCCCCATTCACTGGTGGACCAGAGATACACAAAGCTGGGAGCCAGGTCGTATCCATCCCTGTTCCAGCATCCACCGTGAGGAAAGGTCCCAGCCTCGAGTGAAGAACGGGGCAGGAGGCTCCATCCCCAGCAGAGAGGCCCGCACATGAGCGCTAACCCTCCTCCCCCAGAGGAGCAGGCGAGCACAGAAGCCGACAGGCCTGCTTTTGTCCAGCAGTGAGCCAGGAATGGCTTTTACATTTATAAAATGTTGTAAAAATAAACAATTAAGAACATGCAACAGAGACCTAAGCCCTGGGGGCATTGCTCAGTGGTTAGAATGTTGGCTCAAGCACCAAAGGGTCGCAGGTCCGATCCCTGGCTGCAGCCGTGTGGGAGGCTGTTTCTCTCACATCAGTGTCTCTCTCTGTCTCTCTGCCCTTCCCCCCTCCCGTATGTGCCCTTTATGGAAAAACTGACCCTTGGTCAGCAAGCAGAGCTCTGCCTTAAGCCGCCTATGGCCTGACTGCTCCTAGCACAGCCAGCCACACTGGCTCGGGTACCCTGACCTCCTGCTCAGCGCACGCTGTGTGCTGCCAGCGCGGCAGTCGGGCGCGGCGACAGGAGAGGGGGAAGGCCCAGAGCCTGTCGTGGTCGTGCCACTCACACCCCCTGGTGGTGTGTCTGAGGAAAGGGTGGAAGTTTGACTGCCACATGTTCTTAACGTGTTTACCCACGTGTCTCCTTCCTATCCTCACCAGGCGAGGCGGCCCAATCAGCTTCTCTTCGAGCCGGTCTGGCCGGCGCCAGCTGCACATCGAAGGGGCTTCCCTGGAGCTGTCAGACGATGACACCGAAAGTAAGACCAGCGATGTCAACGAGACACAGCCGCCCCCGTCCGAGTAGGTCACCGGGAGCCGGTGGAGGAACACAGCGGGACACGAAGGACGCCCGGCACCAGCCGGCCTCGGCCTCCTCCGATGAGGAAGCTGGCGAGCCACGGACTCCTTCCTGCAAGATCAACTGTGTCTTAAGGCTTTCCAGCCTACACATACTGTATCCTGCTTCAGATTTAGGTACAACTGCTCCCCTTTTTATATATATACATACACAAACATGCACATATTAAACAGATTGTCTCATCATTGCATCTATTTTCCATATATCCATCAAGAGACCATTTTATAACCCATGTTAAGAAGAGAACCCTTTTTCAAACAAACTCCAGACCCTGTTGCCAGTGGCTGGGTATTGGGGCAGCCCCGTGGTTGTTGCTCGGTCGCTCTGCATGCTCTGTCAGACAGACAGGTACCTTAGCTGTGTTCATGTGGCCCCGACTCCTCAGCCACATCACTCCTCTTAGGACATTGTGGAACCTGAACTGCACTTGTCTCTCATTTCCTTCCAATAACGATCAACACTACTTCAGCGAGCAAACTGTGAAAGGGGCTTTGGCGGGGGGCGGGGGGGCGGGTTGGGGGAAGCCGCGTTCATCGGGGAGTGCCACGCCCGTCTCGCTCGAGTTGGTGGTGTCCCCTCGTCCCTTCGTGTGAGCTGTCCTTGGCCAGGGCCGGTCTGTGCAGAGGACGACAGCAGCCGCGACGCAGCTGAAGCCCCAGCGGCAGCAATCACGGCGACGCCCGATGGTCTCCTGAACCCTGGCTCTGCCAGCGTGCGCCTCACTTCGGGAACAAGAGCGGCGGGCTCCTCAGCAGGACGCGGTGGGGCCCTCCCCTGGCGGCCAGGCCCTCGTGCTGACCTTGCAAATTCAGCCGCTGCTCTGAGCCCAGAATGGGAATATCGGCTCTGTGTCCAAGACTTGTTCCAAGTTGGTGAGGTCACTGAGCCTCACGAACAGATGCCATCTGCCTGAATGTTGACATGCCAGTGGATGTGAATCCCTCATTTCCCCTCCCCCCTTTGGACAGTGTTACAGTGAACATTTAACATTCTGTTTTTGGTTGATAGGTAAGCAAACTGACATTACAGAAAGTGCCTTAGACACTACAGTACTAAGACAATGTTAAATATATTATTTGCCTCTGTAACAATTTAATGTATTAAGTTTTGACTGCTTCATATCATGTACCTCTCTAGTCAAAGTGGTATTACAAACATTCAGTGACAACGAATCAGTGTTAAGTACAAATCCCTGATCCTCTGCAATGTGCTTGAAAACACAAACCTTTTGGGTTAAAAGCTTTAACATCTGTTAGGAAGAACTTGTCATGTGGGTTTGGAACCTTTGATTTGACCCCTTTATGAACTGTACTGGCTGTTGACCACCAGACACCTGACTGCAAATATCTTTTCTTGTATTCCCATATTTCTAGACAATGATTTTTGTAAGACAATAAATTTATTCATTATAGATATTTACGCCTGCTCTATTTACTTGGAGGAAAAAGCACCCATTAAGAATAAACAGACCTCAATAAATGAGAATAATCACGTGAATGTGGAATCTGTTTTCTTACCTTCTGTTCTCGGTTTCCCATCTGTGATCTGATTGGCAGCTGTGAGTCCCACAGACTTAAAAGGCTTTTCCTGAGGGCGCTGGGCTCCCGGTGTCAGGTGACGGGCAGTCTCAGCTACAAGTCGCACCTGCCCGTGGCCTCTGTGTGTGTAGCCTTGGGGAGGAAAGGGCCCCTGACTGATAGGAAAGGGCTGAGGAGGAAGCTGGGAGGGCTTCGGCCATCAGCTGATGGAGCGGTTTGCTGGGCTGGGTATTTTAAGAGACCCAAGAAGGTTCAGACTGCGATTTCAAGCAGTATTCACACTGAAAGTAATTGGGGGGTGGGGGGTGTGTGTTCTGTGATAAGACCCAAGGGCAGCCTCACTAGTGGGTCAATCAGGATGGGCTGGAGAAGAGTAAGGCAGTGGTCGGCAAACCGCGGCTCGCGAGCCACATGTGACTCTTGGGCCCCTTGAGTATGGCTCTTCACAAAATACCACGTGCGGGTATTTTACTCCCGGTGCTTGTGGAACTCAGAGGCCGGTTTTCCTCCCGAGGAATGCTTCCCCTGCGGCTGGCTAACGTGTGGTCACTGTTCCCCGCTCCTCAGCTCTCGGGAGAAACTATCTCCACGGACCGACTCCAGAGACGCTAACCAGAAGGAGCCTTTCCTACTAAACAAGCCACCGCTCCGGGGTCCGGAAAGGTGGTCCATAAAGCCTGTGCCGGGCACCGGCGACAGGGAGCACAGCTCCTGGGCTGAGCTCGGTGTCAAAGGCAAGCTGCTGGCCAGCTGCCACCAAGGAGGGTTTTGTCCTGAGGAACGAATCAGACAAAACCTGGGAAAGCCTGTCCTTTGGGAGAGCTGAGGTGGCGTTTAACATGCAGCTCTTCAGCTGGCATGCTGCCTGCCTTTGCCACCTTCTAGGCTTCCTTTTTGAATGCGTCCAACTCCAGGGAATGATCTTAAACTGCGTCGACAGAAACAGCACACCTGTACTCCTAGTCTGACTGCCTTGAGGGTATAACTGACGTCACCCTTCCTTCCTGTCACCACTACCCCCCCTGGACACCTCCGCTAAGATCAGTGTGAGCCTGAGGACCCGCTGGGACTTGTCCTCGCAGGCAGCCCTCCCTGTGGCTCTGGGCAGGACTGACCATGGCCCTGCCTCCTGACACCAACGCGGGAAGAGAGAGCTCCAAGTTGTCAACCACCACTTCCTGTCCCACCCTCGCCCCCTTAGGCAACCCTCGCCAGAACAGGCCATAGGTTGGCATCTAGAAAGTTCCAGGCAGGTCTGAGCGGGAAGCCTGTGACTGAGACCCAAAGGGAGTCCCCATCCACAATCGGTTTCTAGCCATTGGGACGTCACATCTGGACCAAATTCTGCGCACCTGCTACCACGCTGTGCCCTGTGCCAGCTGTCAGGACAGGTGGGGCGGCCCACTTCCGAGTGGAGCTTCATATCACTTGGGAACCTAGCAAACCCTGTGACGTCACACACAGTTGTCAGAAATTTAACGCGAAGCTATCAATAAGGGTAGTGGGCACGGTGCCGGTTTTCAAAGACAACGGGAACTATAATCCCAGTACCTGTGTGCCACACACAAAAGCGTGACCATGTCCTCCAACCCTTCCCAAGACTAGAATTTCATGTTTGACCATCGCAACACAGGTCTGTTCGCTTTTTCAGAGCAGCCCCAACAATGGGCTTCATCCCCACTGACTGATGTCATGAAGCCTCGTTCAAGAGGTGCAGTGGCCGCCATTAAACTCCTGTCTGACCAGCATCCAAGCAGAGCACCGCACCTCCACAATCCGCCCGCACAGGCCCGGCACACCCCGTTCTCGCCAGTAGGTGGCAGCTGTGATGTGGTCAGAGGAAGGTCAGGAAACCCCAAGCACCAAATCCTGCAGAATGGGGGTACTGGCAGCCTTGAAGAAAATGCTGGACCCTTCAACAGAACATCTTTTCAGAAACACTGCATCACAACGCTCACCTTGACCCTGAGGACCAGACTGCTTGGAAAACAGCAAGGACAAATCGGTCAAAAGAGGGTCACAATGTGGAGTTTTAGCAATGTCTCACATTTTCCTTTCTATATATAACAATCTGTCTAAAAGCTAAAAGAACTCTCAATAAGTATAAAAAGTCAAATGGTGAGCATTTGCACAGTTCTAGTGGCACATTTTTCTTAATGGTTCACAAAACAAGGTGCCGTGTAACTGCTGGGTTGAGATTTTATGAACTAATGTGCGCTTCTCCCCTGGCTGGTGCTGGGGTGGAGCCTGCGGCGATCCGTTTTAAAACACCCCCACCGCTCAGCCAGCAGCCAGGGAGCCTCTGCTTTGAGCTACTTGCTCAAATCTCAGAACTTAGCACAGGTCTTCAGGCCCATTAGGTAATGAAAGAAAATCAATCTCATTACTTCAATTTTTTAAAAATGAATTTGGGCAACTTTACCAAAAAAAAAAAAACTAGGAGCCTCAATTAGCAAACTGTTTGCATCTTTTTAATTTCACTTCTGACTTTTAGAGCTGTAATTAGAATGTCCATTTAGTGTGTCAGTTTCCGGTCGGGGGTTTCCATTCCTGTGCGCTAGCCCGTGTGCACACGCAGCTTCCCGATGGCTCCACGGAATCCTGTACGCCGTCATCCTGCCATTCCCGCCAGACACTCCACTGCTACACTGACACTGACTCTCCTTGTTCCTTCTACCATGAGACGTTATCCCTAACGTAGAAGGAGCTTTTATAGCTTATGTAAGATTCAAGACTTACAGAAAATTAGTGACACCAAAAATGTAGAGGTGTATTCCCTAAAGTCTAATGACAGGGGGATTCGCTGGGATTTTTTCCTAGTTAAAACAATCACCTTTTTTAAACCAGAAAAAAAGCAGTCTTTCCCAGTTCCATCATGTTCTGACAGGGAGCGCCAGGGCCCTAGCTCACTTGGATGACACTCACCGGACTGTTATCCAAGCTGGGCCAGGCCTGCTTGCCCGGCACCCCCCAGGCCTCCACCAGCAACCACAACCAGGCAGGGCCTCCTTGTTTTAAGAGGCAGCAGTCAAACGTGACACCTGATACAAACTCCCCAACAGTCAACAAGAGCGAACTTCCTGTTCAGTTTGCATCACGTTTCGCTTGGTGCAGGCTTCAGAGCTGACAGACAACTCACATAACCGCACACATTCTCCACACGGCACAGACCCACCTGCTCCCCAACACCAGCCTATACGTCTGCTCTCTTCTCACACCCGCCTCTCCACAGGTGCTATCTTACCAAGCGAGTCTGTTAAACTTTTACTCCAGGTTACTGTTCTTCCTGAACATTTAAAAAAAAGGCCACTGCGTTCCCATAGTCCTATTTTTAGTAGCCAGAGGACCAGTTTTCAGATAAGATGCTTTAAGTCATAGGAAGATTTACAAAGGAAGATGCCTCCGCCCCCTACTCCCATTTTTCAGAATGAAACACGAAGCATCTCAATTTTGAAGGCCAAGCTAGCACTTCTCAATTTGTTTCGATCTTTGGGGCAAAAATAGAGAGAAAAATCCTTGAAGTAAATGTTGGAAGGGGGAAAAGCTCCTCTAGCATCTTCTATTCCAGGCAGACAGAGGAAACTGACTGGACCCCATCCCCTTTCTGGGCTCGGTCCCCCCGGCAGCCGGACGGGCTGCTTGCGCTGGCCGGCAGGACAGAGGCGGCTTTAGCAAGATGCTCTGAGGCTGGGGCTCCACCCAGGACCCCTCCCCTGCCCCAGAGCTGCCATTCCCACCTTGGCTCTCAGAGATGCGAACGCACTTTTGCAACAGCTACTGAGAGCAGCACAGTCAATACTCAACGAGACAGGACGAAGAAGAGGGGGTGAGTCACATCCTCCTGCTGCGAAGCCTGTGCCTGCCCCACACATCGCCAAGCAGCTCGTCTCCTGAGGCACAAGACAGTCAGGGCGGCGAGGCCACAGCCTGGGAAAGTGGAGAACACAGCAGAGACAGCTCGTTTCCAGCGCTGGCTTTGCTATGAGCGAGCTGTGTGAGTCCGGGCCGGTCACCCAACACTCCGGGCCCCTCCCCTCTGTAAACAGGTAAACCGCTCCTCCTCCTCCCGGGTGGCCTGTATCCATTCTCTGTGCCAACTTTGGCTTCTGGACCTCGCGGCGTGGGTTGGGAGAAAAGGAAGTGGTGAAAGGAAGTGGAGCACTCACTCCTGCACTTCAGGAGTGAGGGATGGGACCCGGTGGTGAGAACAGTGTCTGGAGGCAAGAGGACTCACCGCCTTAAGAGTCACCCCCTCCAAGCAGGGAGGCCCCCGTGGATCCAGCTCAGGGCAGGAATCACGCCTGAGTCTCAGTGCGGGCCGGGCAGACCTAGGCAGGCGGCGGCCCCAGGAAGAGCCTGCTCAGAGGCAGGGGCCGCTGGGTAATCTTTAGCTAGAATGTGGTGGCGTTCGTGCCAGCAGCAAATGTTCCAGCTGAGCATTTAACCAAATCATCCAAACTCTGAAAAGGAGGCCAGGGGAGTCAGCAGCTTTCCCGCGGGCCGTATGCCGAGGGCAGGGAAACGCTATGGGGGCTGCTCTCCAAAGGACTGGCTAAGCCAGCAGCGCTTCTGCCCTCTCACGGGCCTGGCCCCTGCCCTCCTGGCCCGAAGCAGAGATGATGTCCGGGATGACACTGGCCTCTGCAGCCAGGGCCTCCCTGCCACCGTCTGACTGAGCTGACGGACCATCCGGAGGGGATGGTTCCAGGGGAGCTCAGCTAAGAGGAACCGGGAAGCACTGGGGAGTGAGGATGACACCTCAGGGCAGCAGAGCTCATGCCTGCTCTCACCGGGCAGCTCTGCTTGTGTTAGATCTGGGTTCTGCGTAAACGAACGTCTGGCTAAACGTTCCGGCCTCTGATCGAACCCAATCACTGCAATGACTGGGGGAGAAGCTGAGAGCTGCCGCCATCAGGAAGAGGCTTGAAGTGTCCTGTCCGCCTGCTCCACCAGCACAGCGGGCACACACACACACACACACACACACACACACACACACACACACCTGCAAACATGGAGGTGAAGGCACTCACAGCAAAACCTCAGGAACTAACAGGAGATATTCCTGCCCAGATACTAGCAGACAGAAGGAAGTTTTTTAATGTAGCCTCCTTAACGTTTAGTATTCCCTTAGGAACTTACCTTTCACTTTCTTCGTTTTAAAACTACACACCATTCTAGTTTGCTCTTTATTGTAAGCAACGTTCAGAACATGATACATTCATACCGACTCCTGTGTCTGTGCGTTTCTTTAAGTCCCGTCACCTTTGTCTTCAAACATCTGGCACCTCCTCTCACTTGCCAACATCAACCGGAAGGATAAGGAGAAAGGCCAGACCCGAGCAGCCTCTGCCCCCAGGACACCACACCCATCCTGACCGGCAGCGAAGGCCGACCAGCCCCTGGCTCCACGGTGGTTCCCGTGACCCAGCGAGCAGCCTCCCTCACAGCCAGGCCTCCCTCCGGTCTGCACGGGCGCTGGGCCATGTCAGGCAGCCCTGGGGACTCGGCCTCGGGGCCGGCCCGAGCACACCTCCTGCGCACCAGGCCTCTCCGGAGACCGCTGCTGCCTCCGCCCACTCCCACCTGCTGTCCACCCACACGTCCCCGGTCGGAACAGAAGCGACATCTGAAACTGGCTTTGTAACTCCAGCTCTTCTCTCACAGGATGGCGGGAACCCAATAAAAGCAAGCTTGATACTTTTTTGTGTGAAATTTATTGTTTCCACATTAAAAGATATTTTGATGGGGAAGAACTTTCTCTTTTTTTTTTTTTAACCACATGATGATTCTATACAGTTGCCCAGAGTAGGACACCATCATAAGTCATTAACATGCCGTATGAATTCTGAATAAATAAAAGCTACAAAGCCCAAGTTATATACAAATAGCTTGGGCAATAATGTTTACAAACCTATGTACAAAAAAAACAAATGTAAACAGTAAATGCAGCATGAGAGTAATCAAAGGATGCACAGGGACAACCACGTGGGGTCAGTCTGCCCCGGGAGCTGCCGCCAGCCAGTCCCCGGATCAGGCCACTCGGTCCTCCTCACCACTGGGGAGGCCGCAGAAGACAAAAAGCTGTGAAGCTGCCACCACCTCCACCTCTCGCCCGAGACACACGGAGGAGAAGACAGCAGAGGCCCAGCTCTGTCTGTCCCAGGCCCATGGGCTCCTGCTCGGGGAGGCCACGCTATGGAATGCTCACTGCCGAAGTGAAATCCGAAGGTGCAGTAATGAGACTGAGAACTCAGTGGTCCTGGGGAAATGAGACTGCGTTCCCTAAGTAGGTGACCTTCCTGACTGTCTGTGTGGGGTGGAGCTGGGGACAACACATGATCATGAGCACAAAGGTGCCTGGGCGGGAGCTCAGGAGGGCACACGTTGACCTGATTTGGGAGAGAATGTCTAAGATTTGCAGTGTCCTAATACAACTAAGTCCTAGCAGTACAGCAGGGTGGGGCTGTGAGGCAGGTGTGATGAATGGGTACTTCTGCATCCAGTGACCAAGTAATACATGTATGTATCACTTTGTGACCCACAAAAGTGCAATCATGTGAAACCAACGGCACTGCGGCGAGAAGAGAAAGTAGCCAGTATTGATATCGCGCAGTCCTGAGGCTGGGCGGGCCCAGCAGCCTCCACTGCATGCAGCTGCCCTCTCTCTGCCAGCCCTGGGGAGGCATCAGAGCAGGGGCTGGGCCCAGGCACCGAAGGGTGAGGCGTGGGTGTCCTGGGCTGTCGGAGGAGGGCAGGAGCCCCATTGGAAGCTGGGCACTCACACACTGAGAGGCAGCATACCTGGTGCCGACGAGGGGCGCGAGGAGCCCAGACCGGGGGGAGGAGGAGCTGGGTCGAAGCCGTTTACTGCCCTGCGGGGTGACGGAGCAGAGAAGGGGGAGAGAAAGAGAGTCGGTCATTTAAAACCACTTGACACACAGCAAGAAACTCATTTGCTCTCTAAACTATCCCTCTTCCCGGTGCACAGCAGAGCAGAATCCCGACAGCCTGGGGCAGTGTGGCTGCCTGGAGCACCAGGGGGTTAGACTGAGAACTGTGGTCCTCCGTTAATGAGACTATGGGCAGCTTCATCACAGCAGCCACTGCAGCCACATCCCTGATTTTTTCCCCATAAGCAGATCTAAAAGTTTACCAAATGGTACAACTAAATAGTAAAACAGTACACTACCATTAAAAATCCATTTCCCCACGCTCGACCAGCATGACTCAGTGGTTGAGTGTCAGTCTATGAACCAGGAGATCATGGTTTGATTCCTGGTCAGGGCACATGCCCAGGTTGTAGGTTTAATCCTCAGCGTGGGGCATGCAGGAGGCAGCTGATCAATGATTCTCTCTTACCATTGATGTTTCACTCTCTCTCTCTATCCCTTCCTCTCTGAAATTAATAAAAATATTTTTAAAATCCATTTCTACAGTTCTTTAATAGCATGGAAAAATATTCAGAATGTAATTAATGGTGAATAAAAAAAGGTGACCAAAATGTATATGTTCAATGATGTGAAGAAAAAAGAAAAAGTGTAAGTAGTATATATTCTATCCGATAGCCCCTTATATAGATAGGCATTACAATCTGTGTAGCTAATTCTAGAATGTGTGGAGATACTCACACATACATACATCCATAAAAACTCACATACACACACGCACACACATATATGTACATAAAGTCATATATATTATAGAAGAAAATTTAACAATAGTTACTTTTCTTCCCACTGGGTTATGGGTAAATTTCATTTATTGCTTTATACTTTTTTTTGTTTTCCAAATCTCCTGCAGTATACATGAATATCTCAGTGAAGGGGGAAAAGTAACTTTTCACATTGTTAAGCAAGTAAAGCCAGCTGGGGAGGTCTCTGCAGACTCGTGAGCAGCCGCCCAGCACGGGATGTGCACGGAGGGCCGCGCACTGAGCCCAGAGATGCGGAGCGCCCGCTCAGCGCCCCCCCACCCCCATGTGGCAGCACAGCGCAGGAAGCAGTGAGGGGTGAGTGCCAGGCCTGGAACCGCTCAGGAAGCCACTTCAGCCTCTCCATCCTGGAAAGCTTCCTGGGAGAGTGTCCCACTAGCAATCTGGGGAATACAGCGAATTTCCAAAGGCCGCGCTCAGCACCCCTGCCCCCCACTGCCCCTCCCCCCACCCACCACCCACCCCCCCGCATCCACTCATCAGAGGGGTCTGGGAGCTTAGACTCAATTCTTACAAAAATGCACACACATTCCCCACAGAAATAAGTGCTACATACTTATCACCTGAAAAGGTGAGTGTAATCTCGGAAACGGGCACGCAAAGAGATGACAAATGACCCCTCGCTCCTCTGAAGGAACAGTGAATGCCTGAAGAAATAGCCTGAGTCCAGACTTCGAGTCTGAAGTCAAGCTACCCACACAGAGCCACAGGCTCTACGTGTCAGTTCTCCCTGCTGAACATTTTCCCACTTCAGAGATGCATACCCACGACCCTGTGTTCCGTTTAGGGCTAGGGGAGGCCTGATATTTGAACCTCGTCACATATGAAAACTTGAAATCATCCCTCCTTCTCTCCCAAGGCTGTCTGCCTGTGCCTCCTCTGGGGGTGGGGCCACTGGAGCCCTCACATAAGAAGCCCAGCTGTCATTTGTCTGACTAGTCTGAGCCACCAATGCCCGCTCCTCAAAGCCCAAGAAGAACCAGGCAGGCCTCCCAAACCTCAGCTTTAGAGAGGGGAGCACCCCATGCTGCAGCCGTACCACAGACTGCCCAAGCGCAGCAGAAAGGGAGCTGCTGGTTCCACAGGGGTGTGCAAATCAGCGACCAGAGGATGGCTCCACGTGCAGGCGTAGGATTGAGACTTGGCATTTTCAAATTAGACGGATCTTTAAGTTCACATAAAGTTCACCCCCACTGCTGTACTGCTCAAAGAAGCCAAAGCAGGAGAAGGCCAGCCATTCACCTCTGAGCCATCAGTGGCGAAACAGGGCTCATAACCTGCCTCCAGATGCCCAGGCCGCTCTCCCTTCCCAGCATCCTCCTGGCCGGAGCCCTGACAGCCTTGGGTGAGCAGCCACTCTGGTGCTCCCAAGCCAAGCCTGCTCTAATGGGAAAAACGAGCAGTGCGATCGGATACAAAAGGACAAGAAACTAGGCAAGTCGTTCTCAGTATGAACGAGAATGGAAATTCTGATTTGCAAGTTGGACAGAATAAAGAGAGAATAACAAGCTGCTAGGGCCTCACCTAGCACTTCTTTCCTGAGCCAGGAAGTGGGAAGCAGACCAGAGGGAGGGAAGCTGCCCTGGAGGTAGGATTGGGTCTGGTGAGGCACCTTCGGGAACTGCAAAGCTGTGCCAGGGGGAAAGGAACCTCCACACTCACATGTGGCCTCAGGAAGCAGCAACAGAGCGGAAAGGAAATGTCCCAGTGGACACCAAAGAAAGGAAGGAGAGCAGGCAGGGTGGAGACACAGGTCCCGGGAATCATCTATGTGAAAAAGGTTATAGAAGCTACGAAATGGCATGGCCTTACCACCAAAATCTAGTTAGAGAGTCTGAAAAATAGAGACTCCAGCTGAGAAAAAAACTAAGGTGAGTTGTAAACTGGCAACAGAAGTGAAAAGGGCACCTTAGTAAGCTAGTCAGGACGACAATGAATAGAACACAACAGTGACAAAGTATGGACACTAAATCCGTCCAAGCAGCACGTGGAGACGCCTGAGGGCGGCAGAGAAAAGCTGAGGAGGGCGGCGCTCACGCAGGAGCAGCAGGCGCCCTCCAGGCCGGGCTTCCTAGTGAGACGGGCCCTGGGGGCCCTGGGAGCCGCGCGGCTCAGCCAGCTCGAGGCCTTGTCCCAGGCTCTACACACTGAAATGTGCCCCCTGAACACTGAGGATAAAGGCAGATCTCACACACCTCTCCGCACCTCATGCCAATGTGCTCTGGGAAACAGAATGAGCACAGAGGGGAGAGTCTCCACCCCCTCTCCCGCTCAAGCAACGCTATGCAATCGTTAGTGCTGCTTTGAAAAAACAAGACACACTGGGGAACAGGAAGAACCCCAGTCCCACAAAGACATTCAAATATGGTCCCAGGGCCTGCCAGGGTCCTGCATCATCTCCACAGCCTGAGCACACACCGAGGGCCTGCCATTCACAGCTGCCCCAGCACCACCACACTCATCAGTCTGGTGTGGGCAGCTGACCCAATAATGGTGTACAGTCGAGTCAGACAGGAACTTGAAGGCTCACTACGGGCTGTAAGTTGGTTAAAGCAGAGTCATCCCCATGCAGTTAGTGAAACCAGTTTGTTAATGGGTGTCCCACCCCACACCATGACTGAAAAAGAATAAAAAAATAGCACAGCAAACAAATGCAGTTACCCATGAACAACGTGGGAAATATGACTTTTTCTTGCCTAATAAAAAAAAGGAAAAAACATTAAGCAGCAATGCAAATACTATTTTCATACCATGCCCTAAAATCAGTGTATGCCCACCTACCTACACATAGCCCAGCCCAAAAGAAGTCTGACTGGCTCACAAAATTAAGGTATGTGACAATTAGAAACTAAATAAACACTATGAAGAAAAAGAGAACATTTTTGAGAGAATTTAGATGACTATATTGACACAAGAATTTGTATCTTTTCAGATGAGTGATATTAAGGGCACCTAGTGGTTGGAAGAAGCATAGCAACACCTGGAAGTAGATCCAGTGAGCCATATTTTAGGAGCTTGCAGAGGTGAACACAGAGTAAATAAAAATCCTGATTCCAAGAATCCCTCAAATAACCAGAACTTGCAGAATATTTTCAAATCCTGTAAAGTCAATGCAATAGGAAGATATAGTGTTTTATGTAGTAAGACCTCACTGCGCCTGAAGATTCTGAGAGATGAGAGGGCGGGGTGTATACATATGTTCACATACATGCACACACACACACACACACATACACACACACAAATGACTGTGATTAACCTCCCAAGCAATGCTCCTCCAGGACCCTAGGGGTGCCGGTCAAACCAGTGCCGGGGCTCCAGACACACAGCTCGGGAGCGAGAGGCAGACAGAGGCAGAAGAGCCTTCCTCACACTGAACTACAAGCTGCAGTCTGTAAGAACTGGCCCTTCCTCTAACCTGCCATTTAATCACGGAGCAGAGAGAGAATCAGGATACTTCCCCTAATCCTCATGCAGCTGGTAAATACCATCTGGTTTTTATCCGTCTGCAGGAAGGAAGGCCAGAGGTAAAAAGCCAGGTGGATCAGAAGGAAGCCAGAATCAAAATAAAGCAGCAAAACCCCACAAAGAGTTATAGGCAACTAGAGAAATGCAACTCAAGCAACAGGTTAATGTTTGAATGTGTATAAGCAATCTATTATATAAACTAAACACGAGGAAAGACCACAAAAGCACATTGAATTCTTAATAGAAACAATAGTTTAAAATGTGTACTATTTAAACCAAAACTAAATATCATCTGCAGCTTTCTACCAGGAAGTACATCTCCCGGGGCAGTGCAGGAATGAAACCTGCACAGCATCTAAGATGCTTCTCAGAGGGCGGGAGGCGGGCTCCATACAGAGGCCAAGGCCCACTCCTGGCTCCAGGCTCCCTGAATCCACATCCGCCTAAGAATGGGCTCCCCTCGGGCAGTGCCGGCTGTTCTGCCTCAGGGGTCAAGTGGAAGCCAGACTCTAACGAAGACAGAGCAGTGAGCCTGCACTGTTATTCCTCCTTCGTCATGACTGTTCTACACAGGAAAGTAGAGCATTTTCTACATAGGAAAGCAGAACAGGCAAGCTCCTTTAAGAAACTGTACAATTTCTAGAGGTGTATCTGTGTTACTCTCACAAGACAAAAATGAGCAGCCTCTACGACTCAAAATAGAGACAGTGCCACGGAATGGTGCTGCCTCAGTTACTGTTCTAATAACAGCTACCCTAGGTAACATGGTCAGCAGCCCCAGACCACAGGTCTTAACTATTTAGCTAGTTCCCTAACTTAAGGCACACACATAAAAGAGTATAACCATGCAATGTTTTATTTTTTTAAATTGAGGTAGAGCAGTATGTACTGACATAAAAATATACTGGCAATATAAATCATGATAGGCATGTTGAAGAATATTTGAAGTATAATTCCATAAGTCTAAAAAGCTTATAGAATATACATAAAATATGATTTCATATGCCTAGAAATAACTGTAAGGACATGAAAATAGTGTGAAAACAAAAAACACTTTTTATTTTGTGTGCTTCTGCACCAGTTGAAAGTTTTATATCATGCCCAAGCTGGTCTGGCTCCGTGGATACAGCGTCGGCCTGCATTCCAATCAAGGGCACATGCCCAGTTGCAAGCTCAATCCATTTGGGGGGAGGGGAGGAGAAGAGGCATGCAGGAGGCAGCCAATCAATTATTCCCTCTCATCATTGATGTTTCTATCCCTCTCTCCCTCTTCCTTCCTCTCTGAAATCAATTTTTAAAAATTTAAAAAGGATGTGTCATGGCTTCAATCCTAACACAATTTTTTTTAAATTCTCAATTCCCCAAAAACCATCTTCACATCCTACAAAATTTGTATCCCCTAAACTATATTGATCCAGTGGTTTCATATTTTTCTAAAATCTTCAGGCAGAACGATTGTTGCAGTTTGCATGAATACGTAACTGTTCTCTTCTACCCTTAACAAACGGGGCTCGGGATGGACAAAAGTAGGCTTACAGTTGTGAATATGCAGAACACAAACTGTATTATTATTATTACTGTCCATGCAAACAACCGAAAACCTACCTCTGCCCCATTCTGTACTTGCCAGAAAAGTCTGCGAGCCTGTAAGAGCCTTGAGAACAAGGACTATATCACGGGCAGAGCCTAGCACTGCTGCCTTCAAGAGTCTGCTTCCAGGCCAGACGCTTCAGAGTCAGGGTTCCCAGGGCAGCAGACTCCATGGGGACAGAAGACAGCAACAGGTTTCATGTCCCGTGAGATTGGAATGGTAACAGGCTTCAGGTAGACTTATCAAACTAAGTTTATCTTTTCAAAGCTTGGGTAAGCTCACTTAATAACGGGTGACTTTAATACTTGAAATTATTTAAAACTTCCAAAACTTACCCTTTGTCGAAGAAAGACGTATGCCCTGATCTAGAGAACTTTGTGCCGTTGCTATTCATCACCCCGCAGTTAACATTCCCTGAAATATAGGATTTCCGTGATGCTTGGTCCTTTGCAAAATTCCTGCAAGCTGCTAATTTAGATTCTAAAGCCTACAAAAGAAAGAAGGAATGATGTGGTTGTCAAAACAATAGCTGCACATAAAAATCTGCATTTCAAACATTTCTATTTTGAGACTCAAACTTTACTCTCTCCTCCCTTGATACTGGTGGCTACTTAAGCCGGAACCAATCACCTTCTAGCACACAAAGGACTTGTTCTTGTTGACTCCCTTCCTAATGAGCTCAGAACCTTTACTTCTTCCTCTCAGTGTTACTGAGGGACACAAATCTCCTCACTCATGTAAGAAAATGTGGCACAAGCAGACCACGACAGACCAGGTCTATGGACCCATCCATGATGTCTTTCGTTAGTTGGCTAGTTAGAGGTGGGTGTGTATGGAGGAGGGCTGTTTTGGGAGCAAATGCATAAAGAATGCAAAACTATCACTTGAGAATTTTTAAAGCAGCCAATTTTTTCTATGGCATTTCAGTGTAGTTATTTCTAATGCGTTAAGATGGATAAGAGTATTTACAACACTTCACATGATGTTAAAAACTATTCTACTTCGTGCCGAAGCCGGTCTGGCTCAGTAGATAGAGCGCCTGCGGCCTGAAGGGTCCCGTCAAGGGCATGTACTCTAGTTGCGGGTGCGTCCCCAGTGGGGGGGGTGCAAGAGGCAGCGGATCGATGTTTCTCTCTCATCGATATTTCTAGCTCTGTTCCTCTCCCTTCCTCTCTTTAAAAAAATCAATAAAATATATATATTTTTTTAAAACTATTCTACTTCTTAGAACACAGTTAAGTGTCTGATGCCCTTTGTCTATAATTAAATAATTCACCTGAAGAGACACCAGGCCTCTAGAGCATTTACCTCTAAACTGGGTGCCTTTCTTGGCTTCTGGCATCTGCCAGGCTCTACAAACAGAGGACATGCAGAGAACAGGACTTCCTCATCTATGTCCATCACACACAGATATCACCTATTCCCCTTCTCCATCAACCCTCTGACCAACCCAAACCTCTCCCCCAAAAAAGAAAAAAAAAAAAATCCTCTCCAACAAAAAAAAAGGAGAAGGGCAAAAAACAATTCATTTCTATTATCCATAATATGAAGGGACTAGGACTGCATAAGTAAGTTAAATCCATGGATAACATATGCAGGTCTCCTCCATGGCCAAAACACCATGCTCAACAGTAACAGAGGAAACCATCTGTGGGATCACATATGAATAGGAACAAAGTTAAAGCAAGAGAGTGCTGAAAAACAGAATACTACTCTCTTGATAAGGTCAAAAAGTATCATACAGAGTAAAACACTGAATAATAAGCGGCTAGCCTGTATGGCTCAGTGATTGAGCATCAACCTATGAACCAGGAAGTTACAGTTCAATTCCCCATCAGGGCACATGTCTGGGTTGTGGGCTCAATCTCCAGTGTGGGGCATTCAGGAGGCAGCCAATCAATGTTTCACTCTCACACTGATGTTTCCCCTTCCTATCTCTCTAAAAATCAATTTTTAAAAAGCTTAAAAAAAAAAAAAGGACATACAGCAGGAAGTATTTTAGGAAAAAATGGATGATGTGTGGTCTTTTAGAAAAAGACATGGGAAACACGCAGAATTCTCAGTGGAAACTTAGGAGGTCAGCACGCTGGGCCTTCTGCAGAGACACCAAGCCCTGGAGGTGAGTATCTGGACAAGCCTCGACTGATCACTGGATGCTTTTGCTTCTCAGCTTAATTACAGCCTTTACCACAGGAAGGTGTCCTTTTTTCTCCCCTGACTTCAAATTCAGAAATAATTCAATACCTTTGCAATTGAAACACCTAGTGATAAATAATTGAATGCTTACCCCTACTTTCCGTAAGAGATCCCCCACAATGTTTAGTGCTGATATCCTAGCTGAAGGAGTCAGTGGACTGGTACCAAAACCGTTTGGTATAGCTACAGAAAAGTAAAACACAAGTAATTATACATGCAATTTGGGTTTTGTTGTTATTGCAAAACAGTATGCATTCAATGTAAAAAAAATCAATATAGTAATCCAAACTACAGATATAGTGGATATTCCATAAATATGTTTAAAAGTTCTATAACTGATGAGTATTTAGATTACATCCAATTTTACATCATTACAAATAATGCTAAAAGGACATATATCCTTAAAACATCCAGATGAGTATAAGAGGAAGAGGAAGAGGAGGAGGGAGAGGAGGAGGAGGAGGAGGAGGAGGAGAAAGAAGGAGCAAGAAGGAGAAGAAAGAAGAAAGAAAGAAGAAGAAAGAAGGAGGAAGAAGGAAGAAGAAGAGGAGGAGGAGGAGGAGGAGGAGAAGGAGGAGGAGGAGGAGGAGGAGGAAAAAGGAGGAGGGAGAGGAGGAGGGAGGGGGGAGGGGGAGCTTCCTAAAAATAGAACTGCTGAGTCAAAGGATATGCTATGCCCATTTTTTTCACCTTAACAAATACTGACTGCCAAAATACTAAAAAGATTATGTCAATGTCAGCAATTTGTACAGTGATATTGTCAATAATATTAGACATATTTTTATGCCAATTTGATAGTCATTTTGTTTTAATTTTTATTTCCTTAATAACGAGTCATTTGAATCTCTTCCAGAAATTATCTGCCTATCCTTTGCATTTTTCTCCTACTGGGTTGTCTTTCCTTTAATCAATCTGCAAGGAACAATAATTATAAATATTCACCCTATCTCTTATATGTCATATTTCTCAGTGACATTTATCTTTTAAGCTTTGTGTTTTGAGGAGGAAGCCTTTGGCTCCCTCACCTCAACATTATAAAAAATGTTCCCCATATTTTCTCCTAATGGTTTCCTAAAAATTTTTTTGCACTTAGATCATTTAACTCATCAAATATTTACATTTTTCCCTCCAAATGGATACCCAATTAGTGAAAAAGTTCTAAAATACTAGTAAAATAGTTTTAGCATTTGAAATGGTACTAAAACCATATATTGAATTCCCTATATATTTCAAACTCCATTAAATTATTAGTCCACTAATGCTGCTTTAGTTATTATAGTATTAAATAAATTTTGGTATCTTGAAGGTCAAAGCCTCTTTTTGTTAGTAACCTATTTCAAACTTTTCTTGACTATTATTTTTTTAAATATATTTTTATTGATTTCAGAGAGGAAAGGAGTGATAGAAACATCAATGATGAGAGAGAATCATCAATCAACTACCTCCTGCATGCCCCAACCTGGAGACTGAGCCTGCAAACCAGGCATTTATCCCAACTGGGAATCGAACCATGGCCTCTGGGCTCATAGGTCCAGGCTCAACGACTGAGCCAAGCTGGCTGGGCTTTTGGCTATTCTTACATATTTACTCTTCAAGACTAACTAACTTTAAGATCAATTTGACAACCTAAAAAAATTCTAAGACTCTTATTAAAAATTTAAATTATTGATTGATTTGGGGAGAATAGATATTACAACAAAATTAAGTTTTCCTATTCAGAATCACAGTATTGAGCATGCTATTCATGCTCTTCTTCCATGCCCTTCAGCAAAGGTTTCCAATTGTGCACAATTCTCCAATTTATTTTTGACATAAATAGCATAATGGCTAAGAGCTCTTAAGTGGAATTGCTAGATATAAATCCATCTTGTCATTTGATACCTCTGTGACCTTGAGTAAGTTACCCATATGCAAAAGAAGCTAATAATTAACTTACCTCATAGAGTTGTTGTGAAGTTTAAACTAGTTAGCATGTTTTTAAAATGCCTAGCACAGTAAGTACTTAATAAATGTTAGCTATTTTTTCTTTTCCTGAGTGCTGATTGGCATGTAAAATGCTTTTGCAGCTGCTGCTGCTGTTTACCATCCTGTCCTTTAGAATGCAATCAGATGTTCTTCAACCTTGTCACTGATTTCTCTAACCTCCTGCGCCTGTGTCTGATTTCCTCACAAAACTGCCAAGATCCAGGACACGGCAGCTTTTAGGTGAGTTTATACCGTCACTTCCAGTCTATACTGTCCAAAAGTGTGTCTATTTGGACAAGATTACTGCCTTTGGATTGACCTATCTTAATTCTGAGCCAGAGTAAACTCTTCGTCCTACTGACCCTCCCCCACGCCAAGTTCTTACATAAAAAATCTAATGAGCTGTAAAAGAATGTACACCTCCCTCTTTGTGTAACTTGATTTTAGAAAAAGTTCTAAAATAGTAGTATTATTCTGATTAGTACTCAAAAAGTTTTCAGAATTCATCTGCATAATTCTAATGAGTAAAAGCAAACCTTTGTTAATTTTCAAATGACAGTAATTCTGAGGGCCTCAAATACACAAGCACCATTCTGAAAAAGGAACAGTAAAAGCTTTTGAGAACTGCTATAAACTATATACTACTGGCTCTATGCCCTCAGCAGGACACTCAATACATACTAGTACAATTAGTAACACCTTTTGATTATTCAGTATTTTAACACACCTTATCTAATTCCAACTCATAAGAATAGATGAATTATCTATTCAAGGGCTACTGAGCGTTTGGAATGTGACTAATACAACCAAAAACTGATTTTTAAATTTTAATTCATATTAAATTAGTAAAAATTTAAATTTTAATCACATACAGCTAGTGGCTTCTGTATTGGACAGCACAGATTTGGAGAGCATACTACACTAATTGCCCAGACAGAAAATCTTATCATCTCTCTAGGAAAGATATAATCCTTATTAAAATCTAGATATAAAACTGGACTTAAACATGATCCCAAAAAATATGTGTAACAAGGTAGGCACAAATACAAGCAAGCATATACACAATAAGAAAAAATCAAAAGTGTTAAGAGTAGTTAACTTTAAATGGTGAGATTACAGATAGTTTTTGTTTTCTTTTTGCTTTTCCCTTTTTTTTTTAATATATTTTATTGATTTTGTACAGAGAGGAAGGGAGAGAGATAGAGAGTTAGAAACATCGAAGAGAGAGAGTCATCGATCAGCTGCCTCTTGCACTCCCCCTACTGGGGATGTGCCCGCAACATGCCCTTGACAGGAATCGAACCTGGGACCTTTCAGTCCCCAAGCCAACGCTCTATCCATTGATCCAAACCGGTTTCGGCTGCTTTTCTATTTTTAAAATCTTCTGCATGAACATACATTACTGCTATAATTTTAAAAAATAAACTTTCTTTAAAAACTTTCCAACCTTTCAAAATCTCAGTATAAGTGGCTTTGTCTTAAACCTAGCCAGCATTCTCTTTGTTTTCTATGGCTGAGTGGCTTAGGAAAATAATTCCTTCTTCTACACAGATTTAACAAACTTTTAAACTGAAATTTTGCTTAAACTTTAGCAACTACTGCTTCATCAGCAAATCCCCTAAGTTGATAATCTACCATAGTTGCAAAAAGAAGAGGGACCTAGCCCATGTGGCTCAATGGTATGAGCATCATATTCGCATCTAAGGGTTACAGGTTCGATTCCTGGTCAAGGGGATGTACCTGAGATGCAGATTCAATCCCTGGCCCCAGGTTGAGCCTAGCATGAGGCAACCAATGAGAGGCAACCAAGCAATGTGTCTCATCTCTCTCTCTCTCCCTCCCTCCCACCTTCCCTCCTATTTCCTTCCACTCTCTCTAAAAAATTAATGGGAAAAATATCCTCAGGTGAAGATTAACAACGACAAAAAAAAAAAAAAGAATAGCAAGAAACAAAAGAAAAGACATTACAAACCTTTTGGTGAAGGAAAACTGTTCTCTGTTCCTTTGCCAACAGGAGTTGCTGGCAAAGAAAGTGACGCCTGGACAGCAGAATCCATCTTTTCACAATCTAGAGTTGGAGAACTGGGAGCCGACTTTCTGGTTACTTCCTGTTGTCTTTCCCGAACTGCTAGTTCTTGTCTTAAATCTGTAAAACATAGCAAAGGTAATAATACTCACTAGAGAAAAATATATAAAGCAAAGTCACATCTAAAATGAAATAGACTTTCTTCCTAAATTATTATTTCTCAATATGAATTTCCTTTTTAATAATTATTTGTAGGGAAATAAACATGACAACCCTACTGTCTAAATGATCTTTTTTTAATAATACTATTTTTTTTTTTTTTTTTTTTTTGAGAGAGGTGAAAAGAAGAAAACCCAGGTCCCAGGTGCCAGAGGGAAGCGAGGGGAAGGAAGGCATATTCTTGCACAAATTTCGTGCATCAGGTCTCTAGTAAACAAATAAATAAAACAGAATTACCGTATTTTCCGGCATATAAGACGACCCCCTAATTTTACAGTTAGAACATAGGTTTAGGCCTATATTCGCTGTATAAGACTACCCCCCACTTCCGAGGCAACACCAGTTCTTTTTTTAATAGACCGCCTCTCTGACTCTGGCCAATCTGAGCAGGCTTTTTACTAGAACACAGTGTACATGTTCTGTACCCAAAGCTACACTATGTTCTAGTAAAAAGCCTGCTCAGATTGGCCAGAGTCAGAGAGGCGGTCTATTAAAAAAAGAACTGGTGTTGCCTCGGAAGTGGGGGGTAGTCTTATACAGCGAATATAGGCCTAAACCTATGTTCTAACTGTAAAATTAGGGGGTCGTCTTATATGCCGGAAAATACGGTGATACTTTATAATTATATAAATTATGAGAAGTTCTTCAGATAAAGTTTTTAAAAAAAGAAAAAGAGCATATGAAAATAGAGCAAATGTATCATAAATAGTAATAAAGAATTACAAAGCCTAGCTGGTTTGGCTCAGTGGACAGAGGAGTATCAGCCTGGGGACTGAAAGTTCCATTCGATTCCATTCAAGGGCACATGCCCTGGTTGCAGGCTCAATATCCAGTAAGGGGTGTGCAGGAGGTAGCCAATCAATGATTCTCTCTCATTATTATTTTTTTAAATATATTTTATTGATTTTGTACAGAGAGGAAGGGAGAAAGAGAGTTAAGAAACATCAATGAGAGAGTCATCGATCAGCTGCCTCTTGCACACCACCTACTGGGGATATGCCCGCAACCAAGGTACATGCCCTTGACCGCAATCGAACCCAGGACCCTTCAGTCCCCAAGCTGACGCTCTATCCCTTGAGCCAAACCAGTTCAGCTCTCTCTATTGATGTTTCTATCTCTCTCTCTCTCTCTCCCTTCCTCTCTGAAATCAATAATATATTTCTTAAAATAAAAGAATTACAAATTGTTTAAAAATGAGATATCAACTTTCAACTTTGCAATGGATTTTTAAATAATTTTAACTTATTTTTACTATTCACAATGCTAATTAACAGTTTGAGAACAATACTCTCAACCACTGTCATAGGGGTATAAACATACCAATTATCTAAAAAGTAATTTAGTAATGTCTCTTATGACCATTAAAACATTTATATCCTTTGCCACTTTTAAGAATCTATTCCAAAGAAATCAGATATTCCTAAATATTAAGTCCAAGAATCCTATTCACAGCACTATTTATAGCAAAAAATTAACCACCGATAATAAAGAACCCATCAAATAAAATATATATAATAAACATTATACTTTATTAAAACCTGTTTTAAAAGATGTTTTAATGGTATGAATTATACTCACTATATTAGGAAGTGAAAAAAGAAGAGGACAGAAAAAAACACATATGTATATATTGTATGGTCCTAATTTTTTATATATATATATATATATATGTGTGTGTGTGTGTGTGTGTGTGTGTGTGTGTGTGTGAATATATATATATATGCAGATATATAGATATAAATATATAGGTATGCATACTCATGGAAAAGACTGGAAATAAACACACCAAACTGCTAGTGGGTTCTATTAAGATAAATGGATTGGCATTGATTTTTATTTTCTTCTTTGTAATATTTTGCATACTACAATGTATTTTAAAAGGGGGGAGGGAAGGAGAATTTTAAAGTATATACGTTCATTAGACATGCTATTATAATATGAACAGCAATGTACATGTTATTAGGTGCATAACAAAATTATTTAGGTAGAAGGAAAAACCCAAACTAAGCAAGCAGTATATGCACAGTGGTAGTGATTAAGGCTTTGGAAAACAGACCATGGTTTGAATTCCAACTGACAAGTTATCAGACTCTGGAAAAATGCAAACTCTCTGTACCTCAATTTTATGACCTGTCACATAAGGATGATAATACCTAGCTACCTCCTAGAATTGATGATGTAGGTATTAAGTTAAGATTAAAAGTTCTTAGCATAGTGTCTGATAAAGTATATAAATGTATAGCTTTATCAAGCTGATCGTGAAGCTAGCTTAGAACTCTGGCTTAGGGACAGTAAGATTCCATTTAAGTTATAAATTTTACCTCTTGCTTCATCCTTTAACCTCTGAACAGAAACCAATAAAGATTCCTTTTCATCAAGTTCACTTTCTAAAAATGCATTCCGTTCAATAGCTTGATTTAGCCTTTGTTCAAAGTCTTCTAGTGAAACTATTGTTGCCCTAAAAAAAAAAAAAAAAAAAAATTTAGAATCCATGAATTAAGTAAATAATGTGCAAATAGGTAATACAAAAGAAAACTGTCAGTTTATCTCATATTTCCTGACCTAGAAAGCCTGGCCCAGTTGAAAGACAATGATCTCATTCCTTCTGATCTCTGGTGGCATTTAGAGAGAGCTTCTGCTATCATTTAAGGCCATTTAATATATTCTTTTCTCTTAAATTCCATCTAAATTCCTTAAAGTTCTCCCCGCTGGATTTTAAACACAATCGCGTTCAGGAAAACTTTTCTATCGTTTTAGAATACATAAAAATTAACTAAAAATGTGTTTAAAACACAAAGTCCCAGGTCCTACTCATTAATATTCTTCCTACCAATTCTTTTCTTCTTCCCACACTTCTCATCTTACTCTTTACTCAACAAACATTAACATAAATTACTACGTGTCCACTACCTGTATGTGCTATTTGCTAAATATAAAACTCTCTAACCTCATCAGAACTCATAATGCCATGTCCAATTTTATCAAATCCTGTCAACTGTCCAAATATCTCTCAATTCCATTTGCTCTTCTTCAATATTCTGCCCCCATTCAACACTCCATCCAATACCTGGATTACTCCTAAATGATAGTGATTAGAGGTTTTCACATCTCCTCCTCTCTATTCCAATTCCTCGGTATTTTCGGCTGAAATCACAGTCTAAATTATTACTCCTTTGTTTAAAAAATTATTAAAGGGGCTCCAAATGTCTATAGAATATCAAACATTGCACACAAGACTCTTTACAACCTGGCCTCAACCACCTTTCAGCCTCATCTTGTTCAGCATTGTCTCTATATATTTCTAAGCGAAATATTAATACTTCACACACTTTTCTGCCTCTTTGCCTCTGCATTTCTCTTCATCTGGTTAACTTCTATTTCTCCTTGTATGTTCTGCTTTCCCAACTCCCCGAGGGTAACTTCAGCTGCTCCCTGCTCTCTGCCCTGGGACGACTTGCACACTCTTTCTACTAGAGTGTTTATCATATGAAATGTCCACAACTGTTATACCCACAGACAGGAGCTGGTTTATCTTTGTATCCTCAATTCTAGCAGGCATTTAAGTGACTCTACTATTAAGGAAAAAAATACCAGATAATAAAGTAAAAGGAATAAAATGAGAGGAATTAAATTTGGAATGATTAAGAAACAACTAATTTACAGATATATGAAAGCTGGCAATAATAATAGCAAGCCACTATAGGTTATTCATCAAAATCATAATTAAAGCAATATTTTGACAAAATTCATCAGTTAGTATTAAAACAGAAGAGAATAAAAAGGAGTAAAAATTTAAAGACAGATTAGGTAGAAAATGACTGCAGAATTCAGGTTTAAGATCTGAGGACCAGCCTAGTTGGTTTGGCTCAGTGGATAGAGTGTCGGCCTGCGGACTGAAGGGTCCCAGATTTGATTCTGGTCAAGGGCAAATGCCCGGATTGTGGGCTCGCTCTCCAGGAGGGGATGGTTGTGCAAGAGGAAGCCAATCAATGATTCTCTCTCATCATTGATGTTTCTATCGCTTTCTCCCTCTCCCTTCCTTTCTAAAATCAATTTTAAAAAGAAAAGAAACACATCTGAGTTTTTTTTTAAAAAAAAAAAAAGAAAGAAAGAAAGAAAGAAAGAAAGAAAGAAAGAAAGAAGGAAAGACAGCTGTTTAAAAAAAAAAAAAAAAAAGGTATGAAGACCTACAAAAAGTGTGGTGGTCTTGAGAAAAAGAGGAATAAGAGGAATGAATGATACATATTTTAATGAAAAGCCAAGAGAAACAATAGTACATGAAAGAAGGAAAAAAGAAAAGCTCAGAAGGGAATTATCTGGGAAGATAAGAATTTCTGGTTAGCCGAAACTGGTTTGGCTCAGTGGTAGAGCGTTGGTCTGCGGACTGAAAGGTCCCAGGTTCGATTCCGGTCAAGGGCATGTACCTTGGTTGCAAGCACATCCCCGATAGGGGGTGTGCAAGAGGCAGCTGGTCAATGGTTCTCTCTCATCGACATTTCTAGCTCTCTATCCCTCTCCTCCTCTCTGAAAAAAATCAATAAAATATATATATATTTTTTAAAGAATTTTTGGTTAGCTTCAAAAGAAGTGTTCTGGGGAGAAGATCTAGGTGATAGGTTGAACCTAAAGACATACATTTTAGTCACTGATTGCCCACTTTGGTTATTCTAACAAAATGCACATCATTCACCTTTTTGCTCGCTCTAGGTCGTCATTGGCCTGCTCCAGCTCTCTCACATACTTATGCAGCTGCTCCTTAATGGCTCGAGTCTGACTTAAATCATCTTCTAACACTGAGACCTGCTTGTAGCTCTGTGCATATTGATGCTCTAGTTTCTCCTAAAGGCATGGGTACAGGAAAAAATATGTGTCATTAATATGTAGTTTTCTTTAATGAAGGATGCAACCCAAGTAAAAGAGGAGGAAAAATCCAAGGAATTCACTCACAATCCAAGTTGATGGCTTCCCCTTTTTACAATATTTAAAAACAATCACACATTCATCCCAAGTGACTTAACTCATATAGGTTTAAATAGTCACCCATTCTTCTCTCAGAAATCTAATATTGGTCTCTCTGAAAAAAGTAAAATAATGAAAATCCCAAACATGGTGGGGGAACTGCTGGGCTCTCAGGCTGAATACAGTTCAGGGGAGCACAAAGAAGTAGACTGTCAGAGCTCCAATTCTCTACCCCTTACCTTCCCACCCCCACCTTCCCAAACCCACCTACTCCCCAGACACAGAAGTCTCTAAGCATTTGGCTAAGGCAGGTAGTTAAAGACAACAAAAGGGGTTAATCCTTTTACTTCTAAAAATTCCTTTTAGAAGGGTTTTTTAATCCAAACTAAACTCCAAAACTAAAGAGACTATGAACAATAATGAAATAAATGTGTATATTTCATACAAATATAATTTTAAGTGCCACAAAATGAGGTGCCTTATCAAAACAATCAGGCAGCTTATATAAATTACTAGAGGGGGGAAGTGTCCTTAGCCCAGCCTGCACCCTCTCCAATCTGGGACCTCTCAAGGGATGTCCAACTGCCCTCTCACAATCCAGGACGGCTGGCTCCCAACCGCTCACCTGCCTGATTGTCCCTAACCACTTCTGCTTGCTACCCTGTTGGCCTGATCAATACCTAACTGCTTGCCTGCCAGCCCGATTGCCCCTAACTTCCCTCCCCTGCCGACCTGGTCCCCCCCAACACCTTCCTTGGCTGGCCCAGTCACCCCTAACTGCCCTCCCTTGCCAGCCTGGTCGCCCCTAACTCCTCCCCTGCAGGCCTGGTTCCCCCCAACTGACCTCCCCTGCAGGCCTGGTCGCCCCCAACTGCCCTCCCTGGATGGCCCGGTAGCCCTCAACTGCCCTCCCTTGCAGGACTTGATTGCCCACAACTGCCCTCCCCTGCAGGCCTGGTTCCCCCCAACTGTCCTTCCCTGCAGGCCTGGTCACTGCCTTCCCTGGCCGGCCCAGTCACCCCTAACTGCCTGGTCGCCCCCAACTGCCCTCCCTGGACGGCCCAGTCATCCCTAACTGCCCTCCCTTGCCAACCCGATCGCCTCTAACTGCCCTCCCTTGCTGACTTGGTTGCCTCAACTGTCCTCCCCTGCAGGCCTGGTCACCCCTAACTCCCTCCTCTGCTGACCCGGTCACCCCTAATTGCCCTCCCCTGAAGGCCTGGTTCCCCCCCAACTGTCCTCCCCTGCAGGCCTATTCACCCCCAACTGCCTCCTCTGATGGCCTGGTCACCCCTAACTGCCCTTCCCTGCAGGACTTGATCACCCACAACTGTCCTCCACTGCTAGCTGTCTTGTGGCAGACATCTTGTGTCCACATGGGGGCAGCCATCTTGTGTGTTGGAGTGATGATCCATTTGCATATTACCTCTTTTATTATATAGGATAAGGACTACAAAATTCTATCTAAAAACATGATCACTGCCGAAGCCGGTTTGGCTCAGTGGTAGAGCGTCGGTCTGCGGACTGAAAGGTCCCGGGTTCGATTCCGGCCAAGGGCATGTACATTGGTTGTGGGCACATCCCCGGTAGGGGGTGTGCAAGAGGCAGCTGGTCAATGTTTCTCTCTCATTGACGTTTCTAGCTCTCTATCTCTCTCCCTTCCTCTCTGTAAAATATCAATAAAATATATTTAAAAAAATAAAATAAAATAAAATAAAATAAAATAAAATAAATAAAAACATGATCACTAAAACACTGACCACAGACTTTCTAAGTGAACTCCTAAACTCTAAATCACCTCTCCCTTGGTTCCGTGAAAGAAAACAGTTTGACAAAAATCCACTTTAAGCCTCCTTTATACTTTTTGTAGCCAGCTGCTCTTAAACTCCTCTTAAAAAATACATTTTTCATTTTAATAAAGCCCAGTACATTAGACACCAGGCTCCTATTGCCACAATTACCTTTAATGCTTCCACTTCATATTTCAGTCTTTGGTTATCAGCTTGCAAGTCTCTATTTCTTTGTTCAGCCTGTACTAATTGTGCCTCCAACTCTGCTTCTAATTCTCTGCTTCCTTCCTGAAATTCAACTAGCTCATCCCGAGCTTCCTGGAAGCTAATAAAAAACAAAGTGGGAAAGATAAGTTATAGTTAGTAGAAACCAAAAGGATCATCTTAAAGATGATTACATATCAATTCAAGAATTTTTGCCTGAATGCTATGCTATAATAAAATATACTAAATAATAAAGACAATGTGTTACACATCTCTTACTTTATATTCAAGGCTCAATGAAAATGAGTTATAGGCCCTAAAAGGACTAACATTTTATATACTCACTGCTAGCTTTTCCTTACTTAATGTATTAATAAAGAAGCACATAATTAATATACTGCAACTCAGTTTAATATTTAGATTTTTTTTTCAATATAATTGGTTTCCTTTGTAATTCTATTATTTAATTTTATGCATTTAAAAACATTATTCGAGAAGGGGTCTGCAGGTTTCCCCAGACTATTAAGAAATCTGTGGCACACAAAAAACAAGAACCTCTGCCACAGTCTGGCTGACGTGCCTCAGGGGTTGAGCCTCAATCTATGAACCAGGAGGTCACAGTTAGACTTCTGGTCAGGGTACATGCCCTTTTGTGGGCTTGGTCCCCAGTAGGGGGCATGCAGGAGGCAGCCGATCAATGATTCCCTCTCATCAATGATGTTTCTATCTCCCTCTCCCTCTCCCTTCCTCTCTGAAATCAATAAAAATACATTTAAAAAAGAAGAAAAAAAAGAACCCCTGCCATAGACACCCACCTTTTATTTCCACTGGCACAATATAACTAGCTTCAGCAATAGCAATGACATAGCAATAAAAGGTTTAATAAGACTTAGAAAACTCTATTAACCAAAGTACAAAAGTGTATATTTATTTTAGAAAAATTCCATTTTAAAAAGAAATTTAAGACCAGTTTTGGTGCTCACACGATTATGTAAAAATTCTCCCAGCTAATTAAAATAATTGAGATTTTATAAAATGTTCCATACACCTGAAGCTCTTCTCCCCTCCTTCAAAGCTTTTCTGGCTCCAGACACTTATAGTGTTTGCCTGAGGAGAACTCAGGGCTGCTGTCTGAAATCTCAGAGAGCCTATCAGAATCTCCAAACGACCGAAATGATGAGGCAGCAGGGCACCCGCAGCAGCCAAAAATGGCCAATTAGAATAATAAATATAAAATGATGCTATCAGGAAAAAAAAAAAAATCAGTGACATTAAGTTTTCTTACTATTTTAATAACTTGAGTAACAGAATAAGGATTTATGGCATTTTTTGTACTATTAAATATAAGCAATGTTATGACTAGCTCTAGAATTCCAATCCGAAATCTAAAACTCTTAAATTTAGCTTTATGTTTAAAAAAAAAAAAATGTGCATGCTAGAGATGGTGCATTTCAAACGCCCTCCCCTATTTTTAGGATGTTTTTCAACATTACCTTTGTTTATACTTTAAAGACAATTCCTTCCAATAAGCAATTTCCTCCTTTAAACTTGAAAAATCTGGTATATCTTCACCATCCATGATCAAGAAAGCCTGTGAAATATTAAAAACACACTTATAAATCTGCAGCATTTTGGAGGAAGTTAAACATGGAAGATTCTAAGAATGGTTAACTCTTTATTGCATATAAATCACTTCAATACCCCACTATTGGAGACCACCAATATTGTGGATGAAGCCATGATAGGACAGAAGATCAACTAAGTTCTTAGGTAGAAAGCACTCTGGTCACAGCAGCCCTGGCTTCTGGTGAATTGGCCCAACAGAATCATGCTACACACAGGGCTCCAGCAGCTGGTTTAAAGCCAACTGATCTCCTGGAAATCAGGTGACAGTAACAAGCTTATTGCCAGAACTATTTCTACTGCATGCCTTTCTCTGTTGTATAACTGCTTCAAAACACCTGCTTGAATTACGTGAGCCGGGTCATCGTACTAGAACTGTGGTCGGCAAACTGCGGCTCTTTGGCCCCTTGAGGGTGGCTCTTCCACAAAATACCACGGCCTGGGCGAGTCTATTTTGAAGAAGTGGTATTAGAAAAATTTGGCTCTCAAAAGAAATTTCAATTGATATACTGTTGATATTTGGCTTTGTTGACTAATGAGTTTGCCGACCACTGTACTAGGAGATCATATACCACATTTTCAATGTTACTTTTGTTATATTTCTAAAGCCTTCCTGTTCTCTTTTAAATACAAAGCATCTTCCATTAAATTCACTAATCCTCCAACTTTAATGTTCTTTTATTTAGTTCTTCTCCCAAGGCGTTCAGAGCAGGTAGAGAAAAAAAATACCTATTTAATTAACCTTGCATTTGGACTGACTACCTAAAACTCCCAATTTATTGTCAAGGACAACTGGAATACCAAAGACAGTGAACTCCATACCATGCCTTATTTTAAGAAGCAAAGTTCTGTAAGAGTCTTACCTTCTATAACCCTCCCCAAGCATCCCACTTTATATCCAGCAATACTGTTCAAAGTTGTCTTAACAGAACATTCTGTTTCAGTTCAGGATGTTTTCTCTACCTAGAATGGCTTTCCCTTCTCTGTATATTTGGAGAGCTTCTGTTTATACTTTAAAACCTAGCTGACAGCCCTAGCTGGTTTGGTTCAGTGAATAGAATGTCAGCCTGAAGGGTCTGGGTGCAATTTGTCAACGGCACATGTCTGGGTTGTGGGCTCGATCCAGTAGGGGGCATGCAAGAAACTGCCAATCAATGATTCTCTCTCATCACTGATGTTTCTACCTCTCCCTTCTCCCTTCCTCTCTGAAAATAAATATATATAAATAACCTAGCTGTCATCTTTCCCAGAAAGCCTTTCTCACCCTCACCCAGAGAGCACTAAAATCTCTCACCCTCTTGGCTACCTCTCTACCCACACATGCTTTCACAAGTATATTTACCACATAGTTACACTTCTATGTCCCTTTATTAGGCTACGCATTATTCTGATTTATTTCTACCCGGGCACACTGCTTACACATTAGCAGATACTATAATACCATACTTACTAAATTAAACCAAAATTGATTCAACCTAATTCATACAGGCAGCAAGAATTCAAGATAAGCTTTAAAAGCAAATTAATAAAAAACTTAAGAGTTGTAGAATGCGCCGAAACCGGTTTGGCTCAGTGGTAGAGCGTCGGCCTGCGGACTGAAAGGTCCCGGGTTCAATTCCGGTCAAGGGCATGTACATTGGCTGCGGGCACATCCCCAGTGGGGGATGTGCAGGAGGCGGCTGGTAGATGTTTCTCATCGACATTTCTGGCTCTCTATCTCTCTCCCTTCCTCTCTGTAAAAAATCAATAAAATATATTTAAAAAAAAAAAAAAAGAGTTGTAGAATGCTATTCATGAAGGTTTAGCAAAAAGTCACAGACAAGAACAAATACAGAACTTCAACTTCAGAATGGTTTCCAGTGAGTAAAATTAACATGTACTTAAATGCACTTAGTTTCACTCCTTTGTGGCCTACTGCAATTTCTTCTGTTTTAGTCAAGTCTCTCCTGACTACACCATCTATTACTTTTGACATCTGTTAGTCAATCTTCCAATTATTTTAAATTACCAATCGGCCTAAGAGTTCTTTGAAAAGAAATGGATCCTTTCCATCCCTTCATGGCATCAAGCATAATATGAAAGTATCTATGAATCAAACATTAAGTACTGGGTAAATATTTAGTGCACCAAATGCAACCCTCCTGTAATCTGATTACCCTTACACTGACACATTTTTGTTTATATTATTCTACTCTCGGAGATATCCTTAAAATATCATAACACATTAAAATGTAATCCCTCCCCCCCCCAGACTTGGAGTGCTGTTGAGACTGGATTCTAGGGTACCAATTCTACCATTAAAATCTCAAACAACCTGCTAAAGTCTTTTAAGTCCCAGTTTTTTTCATCCAATGAGAGTTTGGACTAGACTATGTTTTTTTAAAGTAAGTTTCTGATTTCTAAATAATACTGATTAATTTTATAATCCTATTCCTTCATCAAGGATCCCAATTCCCACTCTATTCTCCCGAAAGTAGGAACAATCCTATCTGTAACTGTGATTTAGTTTGCAATGAGGGGGGAGGCTGACCCGGCAGGAAGAGCTGTTTGTATTTCACTTAAGGCACCACCTTATGGCATCAGTAATTCCTGGGAGTCCCTGCCTCAGTGTCCTGAGGAAAGGACATAGTAACAACCCGGTGATGATATAATTACAGGTCATGAGAAGCATCTAGGGCTGAGCAATAATCACTATGTCCCCTGAATGCTCTAGACAAGATCTTTCCCCAAAGTGCCAACAAAAATACTGATTACAATTAAAATCTACAGCCCTAACTCTCTCTCCCTCTCTGTAAAAAAAATCAATAAAATTGTGTGTTTTTTTTAAATCTACAAAGCCAACTCTAAACAAACTATTGGCACTGATCTTCAAATTTGGATAAATGTTTTTGCCATTTGAACACTGCCAACCATGTATTAATGTGCAGCTCAAATATTCAGTTTCTAATACACAATCTGAAAAATTATGTTTTTGCAAAATGTAATGAAGATCAGAATAACACAAGTTTAACTTAAAACAAAAAAACATAAAGGAAAGTGAAAGTTTAAGTCTCTCCAGCTAGCTCCTGAAGGTAGGACCTGGGTCTTATTTATAAATACTTTCTGCATCAATAGAAACATGAAACACACCAAAAATCCAACAAATACTTGAATTGACTTATAACCTGTCATTATTCCCTCTTTGCTTTCATTTACTTTATTAACATCTAAATTCCTATTTCAGGATGAAGTAAATAAGCAAAATGATTTGCGGGTAGTTTATTTCTACCTCACAATGCACTACCAAATATTAGACAAAGGTTATAAATCTATTATTCTCAGCTAAACAAAATGATCAAGTCTGATGCATGCCAAGCCACATTCACAGGCACTTTATTTTTTTAATTAAAAGGACTTTTTTTAATATATATATTTTTATTTTATTTTTTTTTACAGAAGGGAAGAGAGAGGAATAGAGAGTTAGAAACATCGATGAGAGAGAATCATTGATCAGCTGCCTCCTGCACACCCCCTACTGGGGACGTGCCTGCAACCAAGGTATTATACATGCCCTTGACCGGATTCAAACCTGGGATCTTTCAGTCCGCAGGCTGACGCTCTATTCACTGAGCCAAACCAGTTTCGGCCACAGGCACTTTTAAAGCTCAGTATAGGCTCCACATCAAAGAGTAGGGAGCTGCTGGGACCTGTTGAGAAGAGCCCTAAAATGATCATTGTCAGCCCTTCCCTCTTAAATATGAACGGGCAACCAAGAACCATCCACACAAATGAGAAAACCAAGTAGCATGAATAAGAAAATCCTAGGACCTATTGAACTGAAGGGAAACAGATAATTCAGAAAATGAGAGAACTTTTTTCTCATAGGAGAACTCAGGAGGGTTACCTCCCACACACTTCCTGAGACAGATACAAAAGAAGAAACAAAACCAAGATCTGGAAAGATCAAAGTACAAGAAATAAGGGCTCCAACCCAGGATTGCGAAGGTCTCACAATGAAGCCTAGTTCATCAGACCCAGAGAGGAACTCAACCAGCTGGATGGCTCCAGGAAAAGTGAGGACCCCATATAACAAGAGAGCAGGACTGGGAACCGAGTAAATCTGAGGTTGTGGTGAAAGCACATCATGCCAAAACCGGTTTGGCTCAGTGGATAGAGCATTGGTCTGCGGACTGAGGGGTCCCAGGTTCGATTCTGGTCAAGGGCGTATACCTTGGTTGTGGGCACATCCCCAGTGGGGGGTGTGCAGGAGGCAGCTGGTTAATGATTCTCTCTCATCGATGTTTCTAATTCTCTATCCCTCTTTCTTCCTCTCTGCAAAAAAATAAATAAAATATATTTTTTTTTAAAAACAAAACAAAAAAACACATCATTCTTGTAAGAAAAAAGGCAGCAGCCCTAGCTGGTTTGGCTCAGTGGGTAGAGCGTCAACCTGAGAAATTAAAGATCCCAGGTTGGATCCCAGTCAAGGGCACATGCCTGGATTGCAGGCTCCATCCCTAGAAGGGGGCGTGCAGGAAGTGACCCAGCAATCAGGGGAAGATGAAACCCCCATCACACCTCTGCTGCTGCCACTGCTGGCAGCACAAGCCTCAGCCGACCCTGATTACCTGACCCTTGAGTGGTGCTGGGCAGCCACCATCCGAGGCTTGCCTGCACCTCGGGCTGGCCCTGGGCAGCTGGGGGACTGAGGGGACTCTAGAGGCAGGCACACAGAGCTTACCTGCTGCCCTGGCACCACCATCTTTGAGAGGATGGCAGTCAATTAGCATATCCCCTCCTTATTGGCTGTGGGGTGCTACCATCTTTGTGAGGGTGTGATGGTCAATTAGCATATTCCCTCTTTATTTGATAGGGTTGTGTGGTCTATGAGCTAGTGTCCTTATAAAAGTTCATAATAGCAATTAGATGCCTTCCCTGGCATTTAACATTTATTTTAGTGTATTTCTTTTACATATA